AGTATTCCCGTCTTTGCTCTACTAACTGTTGGTCACCTAATATACAAACCTATAGCCCATATTTTCAACCTGTCCATCAAAGAAGCATCAGTTCCTCTAGAATGGAAACATTCCTATGTCTGTCCACTTCACAAAGGGGGCCCTAAAGATGATCCAGAAAACTACCGACCTATCTCAATTTTGTCCCGTTGATGAAAATTTTAGAAAAATTATTGAACTACCAAATTAGCAGTTTCCTGTCCACCAACAATCTACTACATCTAAAACAATCTGGGTTCCGGAAAAAATACAGCACCACATCTGCTGCATTAGACACTTACAGTAGCCTTGATAATAAGCAGTACTGTGCCTGTCTTTTTCTTGACCTGTCGAAAGCTTTTTATACAGTAGACCACAACACCCTGCTTAGTAAACTAAGTTGCCTCGGTTTTTCCGAAAACGCAGTAAAATGGTTAAAAAAATACCTCTTTTCTCGCACCCAAACTGTATTCACAGATGGTTGGAGGTCAAACAGTGTTAAGATAACAAAAGGGGTTCCACAGGGTTCCATCCTCGGCCCCTTCTTGTTCTCTCTATATGTCAATCACTTGGGCACTGACCTGGATCATTCCAGGGTAAATCTTTTTGCAGATGACACGATACTGATTACTGCTGGCCGCTCTCCGGATGACGTGATTGCTAAGCTCCAGGGTGATTTCAACAACTACAACATCAGCTAGTTGCTCTTAAACTAGTCCTGAATACCTCCAAAACCAAGGTGTTGTGCTTCTCACCAGGACTAAAGCAGGAAGTTATTTTCCCCCAATTACATTCCTTAAATAATTATCAAATAGAGCAAGTCAAGATCTATAAGTATCTTGGGATCATCCTGGATTCAAAACTGAATTTTGAAGATCACATTGATTATATTAGTGAAAAGACAAAAATTGGTTTTCTGTATGGACACAAGCACTGCTTCCCCCCTGTGTTCCGTTTGAAATTGATAAAAACTACCATATTGCCTCTACTTGATTACTGTGACATCGTGTATAAATCAGCCCCAAGTACTGTACTGAAGAAGCTTGATTCCATTTATCACTCAGCCTTAAGATTTGCATTGAACTGCCCATATAGGACTCACCACTGTGATCTCTACATTGGGTCAAACTTAACATCTCTTAATGTTCGACGGCTTATACACCAGATCTTATTTATTCACGATGTACTTACAACAAAAATCCGCAGACTACCTGCTGGATCTCCTCTCTGTTTCAAAGAACAAATTTGACCTCAGGTCTTCACTCATTTACCAGCTTCACATTCCCTATTGCCGTATAAAAACTGGAGGAAGGGCCTTTGCTATTGATGCCCCCAGGGTTTGGAATGCTATTGCCAATAAACTGCAACTTGAATCACTACTTATGAGATCTTCACTCAAAACTGCTCTAGAGGAGTTGTACACCCCTAGCTGCCACTACTATTCAGTGGCCTAAAATAGAATAAAATGTTTCGCTCCGGATGACCGCTGCAAAGTATTTTCTGTATTTTGATTTAGCGTGCTGATCTTAAAGGTGCATTGAAACATTTGATACTCCGACTGATGCTCCTGTTGTTGGGGAGTGACTCATGCAGCCAGCTATGGCTCTAGGGTTTGGTGTTACATGTTGTTTATGTCGTTTATTGGGAAAATTCGGTCACACTTCCTATGATCACTGTTACATTGCTTTTATGGCTTTATTTTGGTGATGTCGAAAAGTTTTTTTGGTTTGGCCATGTTTGTTTGTTGTAGTACGGAACTAGACTGATGGCCTTAATCTAAGTTGTCTTGTGGTTATTGTTGTTGTTTGACTTTCATCCCACTTGGATTTTTGCACACAGCGTTGGTGTATGGTGCTTTTTCAGGAATATTTTGATGTTTTTTCCTGGCTTTTCTGTTTGCACAGTCACATAGTCACTTTAAGATGTTTTCTTGTTCATGTTTTTCGTTTTTTGTTTGTTGCGGTTGCACCCGATTCAAGAGCCGAATGGCTCACAGGGCTATACAGTTCCTAACTACAGTAATCTCAAAGCATGGACCTTGGCAATTCATGGAGTCGTCGTCGCTGGGGGTAGCGGGGTTGGGTTAGAGGCGGTGGGTTCCGAATTGTTACACCACCAGCGTATCCAGCGTAAACGTCAATTTGCCGCGGCTCGCTACGGTGAACTCAAAAGCGGCACGCTCGTCTTGGTTGGGTTGACTCGGTGTCGGTAATTGCGTGCGTTGCGATGATGCGCGCCCGTGCTCAGAGGCAGCCAGGCTTTTTGTAATAAAACGGCGTTTGAAGAGCCATTGTTTTGCCTGACATTTGCGGGTTAAATTGGGGACTCCAAGGGCTCTGCGGGTGAAACACTCCGGGATATAGGTCACGCCGGCGCTCTGATCGCCGGCGCTCTGCACGCACCGGCCCCACCGACGATTTCATGGCGCCGTCTTCCTCTTCGTGAGACTCCAGTGGGGTGTGTGCCCACGTGCCAGCGCTTTGGAGACGAGGGTTGGTGGAACTCGTCAGATATTTAGAAGCTAAGCAGGTGGGAGCCTGGATTGGTGACTGCCAAAATGTGGGTTTTGTCCGGGGTGCTCTAGTTTCCTGCGACTTACTTTGCTGTCCATCCCCCGCTTCTCTGATAAGCACGGTTGGCTACGTATGGTGCGAAAGAAGTTCGACCTGCGTACATAATTCCCAATGCAGGAACATTTTGAAAATCAGCCTTGAGACTCGGTGATACTTTCTTGTATTAATGATTTATTATTTTGTTAATAATTAATGGGCGCCAGTCAGAGGTCATTTATAAATGCATTGCCATAATCTCACACGTATCCTTTATTTCGTATAATTTATTTAAACCAGTAATAATACCATTGTGGTATTTCTTTACCCAGGATAAACACGAAGCGTGCATATCAGTCTAACACTTTAAAGTATTTGGCCTTATTTTACTGTTTGTTACATCAACCAATCTTGATTTTACATACAAATATCACCCTCATTAAAGTAGGCATCAGTGCACATCATAACCCGTGGTAAACTGGACTCCCGTGGTAAACTTGACTTCCGTGGTAAACTGGACTCCCGTGGCCAGGGATCAGCAACTAAAACAACAAGAATATATATTTTTTCGAAGTCAGTCATAGACTCAATATTTCAATATCCGCAATGCATGTGAATACGAGACTGTGCTGTGTGCTAGCCACTCTGCAGTCAGCTCAGTTAACCCACGGCACCTGGGTCTGTCCCGTGACCTCTTGGCAGCGGGAGTTCGACGCTTCACGTGGCCTTAACGTGCACATAGCCTGACACAAGCGCCGTGGTGACATCACCGCTACTTAGTGGCGAATGGCGGTTGTTGTTGTTGTGGTCCTTAAGTATTGCCGTTCCCATGGAACGGAGTGTACAGAATGTGTCTGAGGATCGGAGGGAGATGCAGTTGTGCAGGTAACGGCCAAGCCATGCAGCGCTTTGTGGGTTAGGAGAGCGACCTTGAATTGCATGCGGTAGCGGACCAGCAGCCGGTGCAAGCTGCGGAGGGTAGACGCATTTATATATAGAGCCATAACCCTACTCACATATAGTACATACACACACATATACACACAGTACATCAGAAACAAAAACACACATATTCTTAGCTCTTTCGGTAAAGTCACGTTGAAGGGAAACAATAATAATAACAACAATAATGAAAAATATATAAATAAATATTTCATTCTTTTATTGCTTCCCTTCAACGTGACTTTACCGAAAGAGCTAAGAATATGAATTACTGCAGTCACGAAAGCTTTAAATCAAAATTTAAAAACACACATTTTAAAGCACTGTAAAACTTCTATGAAAGTTATTTTTTTCTGAAAATGTGACATTGTCAGAACACGTTCATCTCAGCTGAACGTGCCACGACAAAACCGAGCTGAAATATACTGCCCAACAGCGACGGACAGAGAGGTTGAGTTTTAAATGATCACCTCCCTGGCTCGTGAGGGCAGAGAGGAGCTGTCGGCCGCAGAACGAACGCGCGAGCGGGCGGGCGGGCGGGCGCGAGCGTGGCATCGCCGGCCGCGTTCCGGCTGAGGTCGCTTTTTGTCATTGGCTTCTGTTCGGTTCGCCCGACCGCTGAGGTCGCTGTGAAAGTGGAGAGGAGAAGTGGCCCCCCCACTCCCCCCACCCTCACTGTCTCGCAGACGGCCCTGGCGAAGGCAGATAGATTCACACAAACATCTCGTTCGCCTCTGCTGACGGTTCTCGGCAACCCGCTTATCGTGTTCTTGAGCCGCCCTTGCGAGATCGTCTTTATAACATCGACCGATGTGTAAGATGGACATCCCATTGCCTATCCACTGCTGGATGAAGGGCTCTCCATTGCTGTTCAAAGCCTGGCCGCGGCTCACGTAACTGGCGAGTGACATCCGAGCCACCCCGCGGTGACCAGCGTGGTGAAGTATAGTCAACCAAACTGCATCGATTATTCAACTGTGCTATTTCCTGTTGTTGTTATCAGGATGAAGATGTTACGTCTCCATCTGTCACGAGATCTAGCAGCGGGTACTCAATGCCATAATCCCTCTTGATGTTAATATCAGGGGCATTGTTTTCTTTGTTTCATTGTTTTGCGTTCGCTGTTATATCCCAGTTGCGCCGTCGGCATTTATCACGCACTGAAGGAATTGCCATTGGGAACTCGGCTTGCGTTGTTGCACCACCCTGTGTCCCAGCACACGACACCGCATTCACGGCTTTTGAAGTCACCTCGCCAGGCCTCGTTATCCACACGAGGGGCACTGCGCCCCGCGCAGAGCGCTCGTTGCGTTCGTCAATCAAACCGATGTGCCAGCCTCAGCGCTGGGTGGAATACGCGAGCACGCTTACCGCGACGGAGGTTTCTCCTGCGCAGTCATTGGTGACCACTCGACGTCTCGGACCTCCGAGCCGAATCTCTGACCTCCGTGCTGACTTTACGTTTCCCTACCCCAAAATCGGCATGCGCAGAAAATGATGAAGGACAACAATCTGGTGCGGCACCTGGACGCGTGCGAGACGATGGGCAACGCCACGGCCATCTGCTCCGACAAGACGGGCACCCTCACCACCAACCGCATGACTGTGGTGCAGGTGAGCCGCTCGCCACGAACGACCACAAAGCTCCAACGATAACCGCTGCCCACCATCCGCTAATGACTAACCGCCATCCACAACCACGAGCACGATGTTAGTCCTCGTGGTTGAAAACTAATTTCTTGAAAACTGCTTTTTTGTGTTAGTTTGTTGTCCTTCGCCCGCACCTCCGATTAGCGCGGTTGGCTACGTACGGTGGGAAAGAAGTTGAACATACGTACAAATGTACGGTGCTCACCACAAACCACCAACCATTAATCACCACCCAGTAGACCACGAGCACCACCCACTAGCTACCAACCACAATTCATCACAACCACAATCACCAACTGCTGACTACCAACCGCCAACCGCTGATGGCAACCACCAAACCGCGTGGCCGTGGCACAGGCGTACGTGGGCGGCGTGCACCATCGCCGCGTGCCGGGGCCCGACGTCATCCCCGAGCCTGTCATGGACCTCCTGGTCACCGGCATCTCCGTCAACTCGGCCTACACCACCAAGATCCTGGTGGGTGACGCCGTGCCACGTGGAGGAAGGGAGGACGGGGCGGTGGTGGGGGGGTGTTTAGGCTCGAGTGAGGCCCGTTGTTAGATCGACTGATAATTTGCGACGTAAATCTTCGTCCTAATAACGACAGCAGGAATTTGCACAGTTTGCGAATTGATGTTGACCATGTGGGTTGTGTGATCATACTTCACCGCGCTGGTCAGTGGTTGGCGAAGGGGGCGGTTTGGAGGGGGGGGGGGGTTCATGGTGTCAGGCTCGTGTGCGGCCTGAGCAGTAGTGCGTTGGCCTTTTGTTAAACAGGTTTGCGGTTCGAGCCGCCCTGGTTAATACTGAGAGTGAAATTAACCAAACCGTACGATGAAACGTCTGCTTTGCAGATAAAGTGACGTCATTCGACATAGAGGAGGGGATTTGCGTTCCAAATTTAAACTTGTAAATCACTCGCGAATTACCTAATTGGGTAGAGCCACGCTGCATCATCGCCCCCCCCCCCCCACCCCTCCTAACCGTGAAACAACTGCAGACTGTACCCCACCTAGGAGACAGGGTCCGCTTAACCCCAGTGCTGAGCCGATGCTCGATGTAAACGAACCGTGAAACGAACTCCCCGCCACCGCCGCCGCTGCCGCCACTGCCACACAGCCGCCGGAGAAGGAGGGCGGCCTGCCTCGGCAAGTGGGCAACAAGACGGAGTGCGCGCTGCTCGGGCTCGTGCTGGAGCTGGGCCAGGAGTACGCGCCGGTGCGCGACGAGGTGCCCGAGGAGGCGCTGTTCAAGGTCTACACCTTCAACTCGACGCGCAAGTCCATGAGCACCGTCATCCGCACGCCCGAGGGAGGCTACCGCCTCTACAGCAAGGGTGCCTCAGAGATCCTGCTCAAGAAGTGGGTGCATTTGCTCGAGACCACGCGGCGAGTCGGCAGCGCGCCCGGGGGGGGCCTGCGGCAGTGCGCGTGCCGGAGCTCCCCAGCCTTGCCCAGACCACCGGCTCGAAAGAACTGAATGCGTGGCCATTGTTGTCGTTAAGTTACCACCGGCTCGAAGAGTTGAGGGAACGCGGTCGTAGCAGGCAGCGGCGAAGCGTCGGCGCAGCTGTAGACCGGCTTCGCCCTCATTAGGACTCATCGGTACAGTACCTTGCTGCCAATTGCCTCTGGGAGTCCCAACATATGGAGAGGACTTGTATCTTTACACATCGGGAGCACTATTCGCATGTGCCTAAAGGCAACAATAATGAAAATCTGCAATTCAAATCTCGTCATTTACATATTTGAATAACTAAACACTTCTGCGATGATATACACGCGTTCTTGTGTATGTGTGTGGCCGGTTTTGTTATCCACTGCATTAGGGCCGATGGTACAGATTTCTATGGATCTACAGTATTATACAGTAGAGGTCAAAATCAAAAGGTCATCAAGGCCAATGTGTATGATGCCACCACACTTTTCGATCATCATCATGATTATCGTGCATACGAGGGGATGACACTCAGAGCTCCGCACGGACAGATTCACAAACCCACTCACTGTACCGCCATCTCGTGGCCATGTCGCATCCCCGCGGGTTTGATGGCTTCAAAAATCTTCACGTGGTCCACCAACCCTCCCTCTGAACACAGACTCTGAGGTTCCATCGTTATCCTCCCTCCCTCCCATCAGAATCAGAATGATCATTTAGACTGGAGGAATCTGATGAGCTGTGAAGCTCTTTTTCACAGATGTCCATTGGGGCCCGGGTCAGCAAGTGACAACAACAAAGAGCACGATAAACAATGGGAGTGCAAAATAGAGAAAAGGTAAACAAATCACGATAAATAAATACCAAGTTTATAAGCACAAATTGCATTCCCCTCCCTGGCAGATGGTTCACCGTTTTAATCGTTTAATATTTTTGTAACGAGCTTTCGCGGGTCATTACGCCTTCAAAGCGCGTGCCAAATGGTCTCGCGCATAAACAAAATGCCCGCAGCTCTGCCCACGCAGCGAGCGATTACCTTCCAACAAACAAACGAAGGAACGATGGAATGGAGGAATAGAGCGACTCTCGAGAATACCATCGCATCACCGCCCCCCCCTCCCCACAGCCACCACCGCCACCACCTCCAATGCCTCCACCGCCACCACTGCCTCCACCGCCACCACCGCCACCACCGTCACCATCGGCACCACCGCCTCCACCGCCACCACCGCCACGGTGTTTCACCGGTCGCGAGAAGTCTAATCTTTAACGGAGCGAAAAAAAATACCCCAACGCAGGTGCAAGCGCATGCTGGGAGGCGACGGCAGCGTGGTGCCGTTCGGGGCGCGCGACCGGGAGGACGTGAACGGCGCCGTCATCGAGCCCATGGCCAACGACGGCCTGCGCACCATCTGCCTGGCGTACCGTGACTTCCCGCCGGGCGGTGCGCCCGACTGGGAGAGCGAGGGCGACGTGGTCGCCGACCTCACGTGTGTCGCCATCTGCGGCATCCAGGACCCCGTGCGGCCCGAGGTGAGGACTCCCTCCGGGGCGGGGGGGGGGGCAGGGGACGAGGAGGGGCGGCCTCACGTCCACGTCTCCGATTAGCGCGGTTGGCTACGTAAGGTGCGGAAAAGGTTCAAGGTACATACATACGTCGCTCATGTTCACAGGTCTTGTGTTGCGAAGGGTGTTGGGGTGAATCGGGAGACACGAGTTATGTTCTTTCAGAGAATGGTTACTGGCATTGGCGTGAGTGACCCTTGCTTCGTAGAGTCGCCCTCTACTAAAATGTATGCGGTCCAGCAGTCCATGGAATAGAGATGAGAGGGGAGAGGTAGGAGAGTGAGTGGAGGGGAGTAGAGTGAGATGAGAGGGGAGAGGTAGGAGAGTGCGTGGAGTAGAGTAAGATGAGAGGGGAGAGGTAGGAGAGTTCGTGGAGGGGAGTAGAGTGAGATGAGAGGGGAGAGGTAGGGGAGTGCGTGGAGGATCTTGACAATGGCGAAGGCTCTATTGTAGTTTAACTTAGACTGATATCGGGAGGCAGTGGAGGGGATTACTAGAACGTGCTCTTTGTCTCGACTTCAAAATCCCCTCTCCCCCATCCCCGCAGGTCCCGGAGGCAATCCGTAAGTGCCAGCGAGCAGGCATCACGGTGCGCATGGTGACGGGCGACAACATCAACACGGCACGCGCCATCGCCACGGCCTGCGGCATCCTGCCCGCGGGCGGAGACTTCCTGTGCATGGAGGGGAAGGAGTTCAACCGGCGAATCCGCAACGAGCACGGCGAGGTGCGCGCGACCGTCGCACGCGCCGGGCTCCACCGCAGCCGGAGCTGTCCGCTGCTGAGCTCTGGAAAATATTTTGCAGCTCCCGGCACCCCACCCCCCCCACGCTGCCGCCTCCACCACCCCAGAGAATATGTTCCGTGAGAGTCTAAGCCCCGGTGTCGTCCATGCGTGTGCACGCATCCACCTGTTGTCAGGAGTGGTGCAGCGGTTCGTGTGCTGCACCACAATGTATATAGTGACCCCACAGACGAATATACAGACCCCTAGATTCACATAGAGCAACACAGACCTGCTTAGAGACCCACAGACCTACATGGAGATTGATAGACTTCCATAGAGACATACAGACTGACATGTTAACCTATAGAGTAGCATAGGGCAACTACAATGACACATTGTAATTGGCTGAAGGGCCTCAGGCACAAATCCTCTAAAAGGAGGGGGGGGGCATTAAACAGGAGGATCCCCGTTTATTCCTCGCACCAGAGACCATGACAACAGCACCTCCCCACTGTGAGATCAACCATTAACCCGTGCTGGATGGATGAAGCCATCTGGGATCCTGCTAAGTGGAGACCTGCGCAGTTTTAGGGGAAGAGAGGCCCCTAACAATGGATAGGGAGCGATGCGGAGAGAGACACAAACGCACAGAAACAGAGACGGAGAGAGAGACGGACACGGACGCAGAAATGGTGCCGGACGGACAGAGATGGAGAGACGCGGAGACACGGACGGAGACAAACAGAGGCACGCACAACGGCACAGATAACTTTTGGGAGCCCTAAGCGTGTGCACTTGGATAATAAACAATCACCATTAATTAGCCATCTTGGAATAAAAATCCAATGTGGCAGCAGCAGCAGCAGGACCCTTCTGCAAACGAGCCCTGCCACTCAGCATGGCGCTGCTGGATAATGAACTAGAATGTGCCGCTCTATGAAAGGCGCCGGATTAACAGCGCTCACCCCAGCAGCCCAAACAGCGAAGCGGAGACCTCGGCGTTGACGAGCGCCCGCACTTGTGTGGTCGCGTGTCGGCGTGCACGTCGCTCGCGTGCGCGCGTGCGTGCGGCTCACTGAGCTGATTGATGGTCGGCGGATAAGGCTGCGTGTTTCTCTCGTAATGAGCGTGTGCTTGAGAGTGTGTGTGAGCGTGCGCGAACTGGCAGCCTTGCAAGCAGTAAATTAGGCATTTCCAAGAGGTAAAGATCATCTCCCTGCAGTGCTGCCTCTGCACCTTAACCCACGGAATCTCGGATGATTCACTGAAATAACGCTTCGGAGGAGGCTCTTGAAGCAAGATTCAAGAAATTCAGTGCAGCGCATTGCGGATTGAAACAGCGACTTCATACCACCACATCTCAATGCGCTGCACATAAGCAGTGGGTGTTGTTTTTGTTATTTGTATGAAGAGAGGGAGATATGAAGATCTCGAGTCTCTTTGCCTTTTCGGTTGACTCTTGGTTAAAGACAAGAGTGAGGAGCCTTTCCCTTGTTAAGGGCCAAATAGCACTCTAAATTATCTTTGTCGGGCAGCCACACGTGGACGCACACACCTCGATGGCGTGTGTCACTGCAAGAGGACCCTGCAGTGACACTCGTGACTGAACGTGCTCGAATTGTGCAGTGATGGATGCACGTGATTCGCGGCCCCTAAACAAGCGGTGGGCCGCTCGGGTTTCCGCCTCAGGTACAAACAATCGGAGACGTTGAGTCGTTATAAGAATATCTCACAATACCGGAAAGGGGGAAGGAGCACCGCAAGTAAATGCGTTGTCTTCATCGTTTTTTTTTATTACACAACTGATCAAATAAAACGGGACTTGTAAGCTAGGAAAGTATTTAAACTGTAAACTATTTTTTTTATTTTACCAGGTTAGCTGTTTTTCAGAAGCAACCTGGCCACATATGACAGCCCAACGAAGTAGCTTATTGTGTGGACATTTATAGCAGCCAAACACTCTGAACGCGTGTTTCTCAATGTGGAAGGGAAAGCCGGAGGATCCGGAGCAAAATCCAAGTGAGCACGGAGAGAGGGACACGCAAACTTCAAATATTACAGGCGTCAGGTCGGGATCGAACCCAGGATAGCCACCTCACAAGCAGGATGATTCTCGGATCACCTGGGCAGGTGTCAGTCCTCGTGGTAGTGGGCCCTATGGATTGACGGCAGAGGCTGTATCCAACCAATGCGCTGTCGGTACCCCACCACTCCTCCACCCAAAACAGCCGATTAACAACGTTGTCACGTGAACAAAACGTGCCACTGTATTCCTGCTTTAGCAGCACACCACCGGTATGTTGTTGTTGTTGTCGACTTTTAACAATTTGATACGACATTCCGCTGGTCGTTACAGGCAGCGTCATCAGGCAGTTGCCAGAAATCTAATTTGTGGAGCAGTGATGCATTGGCACGTTTGATGCAAGTGACAACTTTACCTACACAGCGATCTGATGCAAAAATAGATTTATGAATCGTAATTTGTGGTCACGACAAACCTACACCGTGTTCAGAACTCCCCACCTCTGGCTGTGAGATGCCAAAAAGCCAAAGTAACCAAGTGGCGTACGGCAGTGGTTGAACGTTGTCCTCCGTGCCGCCCTTTAACTCACTCCCCAGATCGAGCAGGAGCGTCTGGACCGCGTGTGGCCCAACCTGCGCGTGCTGGCGCGCTCCTCGCCCACAGACAAACACACGCTCGTCAAGGGTACAGCACCGCACCCCGCACGCCCCACACCGCACACCATACCCCACATCGCACATCACACACCACACACCATACCCCACATCACACACCGCACACCACACACCATACCCCACATCACACACCACACACCATACCCCACATCACACACCGCACACCACACACCAGACCCCACATCACACACCACACACCATACCCCACATCGCACACCGCACACCACACACCAGACCCCACATCACACACCGCACACAGCACCCCACACTGCATACAGCACCCTACATCGCACCCCACATCACACACCACCCACCGCACCATGCGCCCCACACCGCACACAAAATCCCACATCACACACAGCACACTGCACACCCCACACAGCACCACACACTACACACCACACCCCACACAGCACCACACAGCGCACACCCCGCACACACGCGCACGTGGAGTCAGTGTACGGCACACGTGGACGTGCACGTGGAGTCAGTGTACGGCACACGTGGATGTGGAGTCAGTGTACGGCACACGTGGACGTGGAGTCAGTGTACGGCACACGTGGACGTGGAGTCAGTGTACGGCACACGTGGACATGCACGTGGAGTCAGTGTATGACACACACGCACGTGGATGTGGAGTCAGTGTACGACACACGTGCACGTGGAGTCAGTGTACGGCACACACACACGTGGACGTGGAGTCAGTGTACGGCACGCGCGAGGTATTGCCCCGAACTCTCTCGCTGCCTACGGTGGGGTAGCGTTCCGAGCATCCAATTATCAACTCGGCGAGCAATTCTCCCGTCTCTCGCCACTTTCAGCCACCCACCCCACAACCCCCCCTCCCCCAGCCAGTGTGCCGTGCCACGCTGCGCTCGCGCGTCTCTCAACGCCCAACCCTCGTATCGCCGCCCCCCCCCCCCACGTCAATCCTTGCCCTGCCGCCCCCCGAATCCCCGCAGGGATCATCGACAGCACCTACGGGGTGCAGCGGCAGGTGGTGGCCGTGACGGGGGACGGGACGAACGACGGGCCAGCCCTCAAGAAGGCCGACGTTGGATTCGCCATGGTGGGCTGCGAGCGAAGGGTTTGAGAGTCTTTGGCACGGGCGGGTTCACAGAACCCGCTTGTTGTGCTGTCATATCCTGGCCATCTCGCAGGCTGGCAGGTTAGAGGGCTTCACACGTAATCTATCTTGGACAAGGCCCGTAAGCCGCCAACATCTCATTAAGCAGAAAGTCGGTTTTGGTTGTGAGTAGGCGGATTAAGTGGATGAAAAAAATAATAATCTCTTAAGTTCATACTGCACCCACCTATGGGGAGAGGATGCACAAACTCTCAAAAGTGGATTATGGAGAGTGTTCTAATAAAGCCGTCACGGATTATTATACGTTGGTGATTTCCGAGCACCGCCTTGGCTGCGAGGTGGCCATGGGATGGCAAACAAAAAGTGGGTTGCTGAACCTGTGCCCGCGTGGACAATTGAGGATCAACCCCTCCGACCTCCTCCCACATGTACGGGTAACGGTGGAGCCCTGAAATAACTCTCTCGCGTCACTGCTGGCAGATGAAAGAGACAGCCCCCTCCAGAGGATGCTTGGCCTACTCTTCCACGCTAAACACCCACGTGGAAAACACTCCTGAAAATGGAATTGGCCACGCATCCCTTCCCGAACAAGTCCCGTGAACGCGGCGAGGATTTCTTTGCTTCAACAACGTTCGGTTTCACACGTAGGCTTCCGCGACCAATATTTTTGGTTAGATCGCGTGGATATGAATGTGTTGTTAAACCCGCCACCACCCGACGCAGCCAATTAGTGTAAGGGTTTGTCACGTAAACAGAACGTGCCAATTCGTTACTAGTACAGCACACCGGTGTGTTGGAGAATAAACCCACAACATTTACAATTCGAGCACGACGTTTCGCCAGTAATTACAGCCGACATCATCAGGCGACAGACAGATTTGTGGAGAGATCCTCCTCCTGTTTCGGTCTTAAATAACGTTACAGCGAGAGAGAGGCCGTGCTGTGGAGTCTGACCCCGTTAGCAGCAGGTGGACACAGGGGTCACGCACATCGCCCGGCGATGGGCCACCAAGCCGCGTGGCAAGGAGAATGAATGGAAACACAAAAGTAAATCCTAGCAAAAAGAGAACAAACGAACGAGTGAATGAAGCGCCGGGCAAAGCGGACGAGCGCACAAACGCACTGAAGAGCGCCACACTTGGCAAGTAACGCACCGCACACTGCGCTGCTCTGCAAAGGGTGTTAGCAGCGTGCACAGGTGAGAGGCATCATTAGCGGGTGGGCAGGACGCGCTATTTTAATATCTTTACGAGCACTCCGAAGACAAAGATCCCCCGTGTGGCGAGTGCTGTTAGCGAACGCCTATGAAGGCCGGACCTGTACTCGAAGGGGTGGGTGGCCAGCACTGCGCCCGGCCGCCTTTGTCTCCCTCCTGGCGATGTTTACCACACCGCACCAGGTACCCATTTGAGGCTGAGTCGATCTAGAGGAGGCCCAGAATCGGATCAGATAATCGTCACCGGTGTTGGCCGTGAGCGGAGAATCGAACTCGAGTCGCCGGGTTCGTTGCGCAGCGCGGCGCTGACCGCGACGCTGCCCACACGCTCACACGGGAGGAGGATCTGTGGCACGGCCGTTCGTGCACCGCACCGTGACCCCAGCGACCTTGGTTCGAGTCCCCGCTCCAGCTAACGTAAGGGGGGGAGGGCGAGTGATGTCTGGACCGGTCCTGGGTTCCCCCCCCCACTTTGCAAACTCACACTGGCGTGCGGGGTGCGGTGAAGTACGGTCAAACAACCCCCGTAGCCGTCGCGGCGTGGATTGACAAGGGCCTGAAAACCGTTCATAAATTCTACATGTGTACGAAAAAACACATGTAGACAAGGCATCGGGAGCTACAGAAGCAGAACTTACCGGACTCAAAATAAACCAGTTGTGTGTGTATATATATACACTGTATATATACACACACAGCTGACTCATTTTGCCCTTCATTCTGCCAGCTGTCCTGTTACCAGTTGCTCCAGACATTGTTTTATGCAGACCTGGTTATTCATGTTCTCTGGTACTGGGGTATAAATATTATTTTAACACTGCCCTCGCCCTGCCCTGCTATGGCCAAGTGCTGCCCTGCCCATCCATACCCTGCCCCGCGCTGCCCACTGACTCAAAGGCTGCCCTATGAGCCGGGGCGGGTGAGATTGTCATGATTGTTATGTTACCGGGGAAGGCACAGCTGGACTGTGTGGCTCTTTTTCAGAAGCGACCTGGCCACAAATGACAGCTCAGCAATGTGGCTCGTCATGTGGACATTCATAGCAGCCAAACACAGCAAAGTCTCAGAGTACACGAGGGTTAGGTTCTGTGTACAGCCGCGTGAGCTGGGAGGGTTCACCTCTACGAGTCTATATATACAATGTAAGAGTGTATATAAAATGTATATAAATGTACATGCAAGTTTAATAAAGTACAGCATTGTTCAGTAAATGATTCACTAATCATCGGTAGCATCCAGGTCAGATAGAAGGGCAAAATAGAAGTGTTCTATCTGACCTTATTATTAACACTATATATTATTAACACGATATTATTATTGACACTTTTATTATTAACACGATATATTATTAACACTATATTATTATTAACACTTTATTATTAACACTATTATTAACACTATATTATTATTAACACGATATATTATTAACACTATATTATTACCACTATATTATTTCTAGGTTTGAATATTTCGTGACTGCAAGGATCCATACTCTTTGGTTCTATTTGGTAAAGTCACGTAGGTGATTTTTGTTGTTTTATTTTTTACCTACGTGACTTTACCGAATAGAACCAAACACTATATTATTATTAACACTATATTATTTTAACACTATTTGATTAATCCACGTGCTCGTGATGGCGGGGGGGTGAGATTTGACTCCTCGCTTCCCGCCCTGTGCGTGCAGCGAAAGTACAGAGTTTCACAAAGTGTGAATCGGGATCGGTCGCGTATGAGCCGGTCCGCGTACTCTGAGTCCGCCTACTCTGAGACCTTACGGGACTCTAAACACGTGACGTTGATTCTTAACGTGGAGGGGAAAATCGGAGGATCCGGACAAAAATCTACGCGACCACGGGGAGAGAGACACGCAAACTCCAAATATACAGCAGGCGTCAGGGTCGGGATCGAATCGACGACCTCCTGTATATCATGCGAGGGAGTTAACATCTCTCTACCGCGGCAAGATAGCCGGGTGGTAGCGTATAATGCCGCCTGTTTCACCCCCAGCGGGGTTGTATTCACTGCGGGGGTGTCACCCGAACTCACGCGCGTGCAGGGTACGCTGCTTCCCAGCGGACATTACAGATCCTGTGACGTCATTCGAAAGTAAAGAGAGATGGCCGCACGCGGTTTCACATTTGCAAAATCTGCAACGTTGAAATTAACCTGCCAATTACTCTGCGGCCGTCTGGAACGCTCTTCCGTCCGATATTAGAAAGCCACTGGAGCGGTGCACTTTTCAATCTAGATCGAAAACTCTTCCGAACTGCTTTTTGAATTCAGTTAGTTGTCCTTCCCCCACACCTCCGATTAGCACGGTTGGCTACGTACGGTGCGAAAGAAGTTGAACGTGCATACACACTTACTTAAGTGGGTAAATGCCACATCGTTGCATCGTCCACTACTGGCACACTACACGCAATCTGACAAGCATGGCGCAATTGTGGTAGCCTGCGTGTGATAGCGAACACCGAATGCAGAAACAAACTTGGGGGCGGGGGGTGGTGACGCTTCCCCGTCTGTGCCCACCAGGGCATCGCGGGCACCGACGTGGCCAAGGAGGCGTCGGACATCATCCTGACGGACGACAACTTCAGCTCCATCGTGAAGGCGGTGATGTGGGGGCGCAACGTCTACGACAGCATCTCCAAGTTCCTGCAGTTCCAGCTCACGGTCAACGTGGTGGCCGTCATCGTCGCCTTCACCGGGGCCTGCATCACGCAGGTACCGCAGCAGCGACAGTCCCTCTCTCTCCTTCCCGAGTTTGTCTCCGTGTGTCTCTCTGTCTCTCTCCCGTGTCTCTCTGCGTGTCTGTATGCTTCCACGTATCTCTCAGCGCACGCCTGTCTCTGCGTCTCGCTCTTTGTGTGCGTATTTGTATTCGTGTCGCTTCGTCTTTCAATCGACACTTCACTCGCCGTGTATATCTCTCTCCGTGCATCTTTCTGACTGTCCCTCTCTGTCCTGCTCCACGTCTCTCGGTGCCTCTCCCAGGTCGCTCTTCACATCCGTCTCTAGATCCCCTCTCCTGCACCCCAGCTCCGTACGCACAGTGCCCCATTTAGATTGCTATTGCTCTCCATCTGTGGTCGTCTGGGCTAAGCCGCGTGTTGAGCATTTCTTCTACCGAGCTAACGGCACACAGTACTGTAGGCGTCTTCAAAAATTGCAGATGCCCACAGCAGTGTGTCAGATAAGAGGACCGAGAGACGGGCATGGCGACACGGAGAGAGACATGGGCAAGCCCTTCTTTCGCCACCCACAACTACCGTGGGCATCTTCGTGGGTTGAGGATGCCTGCAGCGGTTGCGTGGCACAAGCTTGAGAGAACAACTTTCCCCACAAGCGGCCTAACCCCGGGGCCGACACTCGGACCACGAGCGGCTTGTGGCCGCGTCCGCGCGGTGGGCCAGCGAGTGACGGTGCCGTTGCGCCCGTGCGTGCGTAGGATTCGCCGCTCAAGGCCGTGCAGATGCTGTGGGTGAACCTCATCATGGACACGCTGGCGTCGCTGGCGCTGGCCACGGAGCCGCCCACCGAGGCGCTGCTGCTGCGCCGGCCGTACGGGCGCAACAAGCCGCTCGTGTCGCGCACCATGACCAAGAACATCCTGGGCCACGCCATCTACCAGCTCACCGTCATCTTCACGCTGCTCTTCGCCGGTGATTCCTCGTCCGGGTGTGGGAACGTCGGTAAAACCGGTCGGCAGAGTTTAATTTTAAAAACACGTGCGGGGCGTCTCCTGGGCTCGGCTGCCGGAGTGGAATCTCCCTTGCTGGTGCTCTGCACGCACGGCACAAACACGAACCTTTGTCCATTTGCGAAATTCATTCCTGTTAATTTTATTATTATTTTTCTTGGTTCTTTCGGTAAAGTCACGTAGAAGGGAAACAATAAAATAATAAAAATATAAAAAAATTAATTCTCACGACGTTTCGACTGCAACACAAGCAATCATCAGGTGTGAAAACCACAGCAAGAAAATTTCAAAAAAGTGGCGTTTTTTTAACGTTAGCACACGGAGAGCGATTTGGCAGTTATTCAGATGGACGAGTCCATCTATGTTCGGAAAAGAGGAGGGGGGAGACGAAAATAATGGATGCGGTCTGAAAGCCACCGTAAGCGTGAACAATCAATTAAGACTCGAAATGGTTTATCAAATCCTTCCAATGATTGCCAAGCCAGAATCCATCTTCTCTGTTGAAATTGTCTCTGTGTTTGTATATGTGGATAGCCTCATGAACGATTCGTCATGAACACCTGATGATGATTGCTTGTGTTGCAGTCGAAACGTCGTGAGAATTTTATTGTTTTATATTTTTATTATTTTATTGTTTCCCTTCTACGTGACTTTACCGAAAGAACCAAGAATGTGAATCCCTGCAGTCACGAAAGCTTTAAATAAAAAAAAATTATCATTTTCTTTCGCAGACAGAAATTAGTTCCGCACACCGTTCAGTCGGTCAGCATTTGAGAGTTTTGAGTCTTAAGTCTGATTGTCGGCAACCAGTGGAACCTCAGTCTCTGGAATGAGATTTAGTCATTAAATGCTGGCTAAATTAACACTGGAGGCAGTGCTCATTTCGTCAGCATTACAGGGTACATAAAAAATGTTAACACTTTTTGGGACGATCGTTTTTAATGGAATAAGAATGTATATAATACACTGTAACATGATAAAAAATGTAATGTTAACGGCTTCAAAAAGTCAAAGAGTCTCCACTTGTTCGCCATCGTTGTCAACACGTGGCCTGGAATCTTCTCCAGGTGCTCTCCAGAGCCCGGAGGCAGCAGCACATGTCACGTGGTGTTGTTGCAAACGCTCCTAAGTGTTAACATTTTTTTTAAGCACCCTGTATTTATATTAACGAAGACGCGAAATCGACAGACTAAAGTAAGATTTGACTAAATTATCGCTGGAGCTAATTTGCACGTCTGTTGGTAGCGTGTGCGTCGACACATGTAAAATGTGGTGATGGGGTGGAGGGGATGAACGACTTCTTTGCTGGGGGGGGGGCAGGCAGAAAGCATGACGGATGTGGGGGGGGGTTGGAGAGAGCAGATCTCTTAGGCGGGGCCGCGTGTCCGTCCGTATCGCTCGTCTTGCTCGTGGTCGAGAGAAAGCTCAAGCGGCGGCGGCGATCAATCATCGCAGACAAACTGCTCCCCCCCCCACCCATCATCACCCGGCAGAGCAAACAAATCTAAACCAGCTCCACCAACGCGTGGTGAAGAAGGAGCAAACAGCTCGCCACACCGATCGCGGGAGCAAAAGAGGCCTTCAGTGAACAGCAGATTGACAAAAGACTGTAAATTATCGTTATCCATCGCTTTTATTTCAGCATGAACACGTACATTCACGACCATTAGCCTCAGGGCAAATTGTCCCCTGTGTGTTTTCAGCGAGAGGGATAAATTTAACTGCCAAGTTGTGGGAGGGGGTCTTAGCCACCCTCCCCTCCATCCCCACGACAGTGCCTGTGATTCATGCACTCACGCATCCTCACTCTCTTTTTTTATTTTTATTTCACCAGGTAAGGCCCACTTAGCTATATAGCTCTTTTTCAGAAGCGACCTGGCCATCACAAATGATAGCTCAACGAACACGCAAACTCCAAATGTACAGCAGGCGTCGTCAGGGGGTCGGGATCGAACACACGACCTCCTGTATACCAGGCAAGGTCGTTAACATCTCATAGCCACTGCTACTGCTGCTTGGAGACGGACGCCGGAGGACATTTTAGTGCCGCCACCATTCACGATTCGCGTGGCAGCCGCTCTTTGTCAGCGCTCGACGACCGTAAAGTCTTTTACTGCTGTCAGCAGCGTGGCCTTTGAAACTACGCCCGTGGAATCCATTGATTTTTTTTACTATCATTATACAGGGCGCTTCAAAGAAATGTTAACACTCCCGAGAATTTGCAACAACACCACGAGAAATGTGTGCCCCCGGGCTCTGGAGACCACGTGGAGAATATTCCAGGCACGCGTTGACAATGACGGCGAACAAGTGGAGATTCTTTGAGTTTTTGAAGCGATTAACATACATTTGTTATCATGTTACAGTGTATTATCCGTTCTCTTTACATTAAAAATGCCATTGAAGTGTTAACATGATTTTGAAGCACTGTATTTTTCCAGGAGCGCCACACCTTGGGTCACAGGGCTCTTTCTCAGGAGGGTGCTGATCCTGCTACATTCCTTCTTTTTTGTTCACATTTCACCCAATGAAGGATGAGTGTTTATTATTGCTATCCGTGGAGGAGGAAACCGGAGCACCCGGAGAAAATCCAAGCGCACGAGGGGTGGGGTGGGGGGCAACACAGATGGAAACAAATTGTGGTGGTGGTGATGGTGGTGATGACAATGGTGCTAACGGTGGCGATGTTGGCGACGGCGGTGACGGTGGTCACGGTGATGGTAACGGTGGCGATGACGGTGGTCACGATGATGATAACGGTGGCGATGACGGTGGTCGCGATGATGGTAACGGTGGCGATGACGGTGGTCACGATGATGGTAACGGTGGCGATGACGGTGGTCACGATGATGGTTACGGTGGCGATGACGGTTGTTGCGATGATGGTAACGGTGGCGATGACGGTGGTCGCGATGATGGTAACGGTGGCGATGACGGCGGTCGCGATGATGACAACGGTGGCGACACTGGCGGTGGTAACGACGGCGGTGACGATGGCGCTTGCACACGTGCAGGCGAGGTGGTGCTGGACGTGGACAGCGGACGGCACGCTCCGCTGCACGCGCCGCCCTCGGAGCACTACACCGTGGTGTTCAACACCTTCGTCATGATGCAGCTCTTCAACGAGATCAACGCGCGCAAGATCCACGGGGAGCGCAACGTCTTTGACGGCATCTTCCGCAACCCCATCTTCTGCATCATCATCGTGGGCACCTTTTTCGTGCAGGTGAGCGGCGGGCGGGGGGTGAGCGGGCTCTGTGCGAGGTTGCCGTGGGACTTTTCTCCAGGTTGTTGTCATCACCACACCCGGGGCACCCCGCATCATGCAGCACACCTCTCGCTTTGCCTGTGAGTATGAGTCACGTGATACCAACTCCAGTTGTTCACCAGCAACAATATTGCCGCACCGGCGCACCGCATCCGGTACACGCACCGGCACACTGCATCACGCGCGTTCAGATGCACGTCTGTGGCCGTCTGGAACCCACTTCCTTCTGATATTCGGAAGGCTCTGGAGCTATGCACTTTTTAATCTAGATTGAAAACTCACTTCTTCAGAACCGCTTTTTGTCTTCTTTGGTTCTTTCGGTAAAGTCACGTAGAATGAGAATAAAATAATAAATTGATAAAATAAAATAACACAATAATATTCTCACGACGTTTCGGCCACAACACAAGCGGCCTTCATCAGGTGAAGGGACGAGACTGTCTGGAGGACAGCGCTAAATCGAAATTTAACCGCTTTTTGGTTTTAAGTTTGCTGTCCTTTCCCGTTTGGCTACATACGGTGCGAAAGAAGTTCAATATACATACGTACATCCAGTATACCGCTCGCGATAGAGGTGACTAATGGTCACGTGCCACCTACTCAGTCCTCTAGCAACCTGGAAAATATCAAGTGGTATATTAAGCCCTGGTTAATATTATTATTATTTCCACCGCTAGAGCATTGCTTGGTTCGTGTTTCCCTTTGTAACCAGGTGGGAGCCTCATTGAGTTTCGAGGTTTCTATTGCAACGAACTATCTCGGGCAAATGCAAATAAATCGTTAAACATTGTTTGGCGGAGTGTAAACATTTGTGCACATCTGTTGGGGGCAATGTTTAAAAAATCTTGATAAACCACAAAACCTTATTGGCTCGAAAGTAGGTACTGTTGAGAGCAGGTAGATTAAGTGGCTGAAAAGAGTGAAAATGTAACTCTATTGTGTGGACAGAGAGAGCTCCAGACAAGGGGGGCCAGCAGAGCGTATGCAGCCTCTCTGATTGTGCTTCTGTCTGGCCGTGTCCCTGGGTCACCACCTCTTATCCCTCACCTGCAATGTGTGGGTTCCGTGTGGCCTCGACGGGTGAAGGTCTTCATCATCCAGTTCGGAGGGAAGCCCTTCAGCTGCGCCAGCCTCAGCCTGGAGCAGTGGCTCTGGTGCATCTTCCTGGGAGTCGGAGAGCTGCTGTGGGGACAGGTATAACGGCCGTGCGCCGTCATAGCCGTCGCGCGGTCGCTATGGCGGAGCGCGATCTCTCCCCCCGCGGCACACGACGCCTGTGATGGCCCACGACAGGTATAACGGCCCACGACAGGGTTAACGTCACATGACAGGCGCAACATCACCGACAGCTGGAACATCACGAGATGAGCACGGTTAGCACGGTTGGCTGTGTATGGTGCAAAAGAAGTTCAACATGCATATAGACGGACAGCTATAATGAAACGAGACAGCTGCGGTGACACAGGACGGGTACAACATCAGAATGCGGTATAACATCATCAGAATACGGTATAACATCGCACGATGTTTGTTTAACACGGCACATTGACAAGCATAACGGCGTGGAATAGATATGACAGCTGGAACTAAACAAAAATTATACAATTTTTTTAATTTTTACCAGGATAAGGCCCACTGAGCTAAATAGCTCTTTTTAAAAAGCAACCTACAGTAGCCACAAATGATAGCTCAACGAAGTGGCTTAACATTTGGAAATGTATAGCTGCCAAATACGCACATTCATTCTAATTGTGGAGGGAGAAATACGGAGGACCCGGAGAAACACCGACGCGACCACGGGGAGAGAGAGAGACACGCAAACGCCAAATATACGGGCATCAGGGCCGGGATCGAACCTACGATCTCCGGCATACCAAGCGAGGTAGTTAACATCTCGCCACCCACGGAGCCCCAACGGGTATGATGGCACTCGCCGGGTATAACTTCCGCGCCGTACGTAACAAACGTACGAACGCCCGCAGCTCATCGCGACCATCCCGAGCTGCCGGCTGCCGTCGCTGAAGCGGGCGGCCGCGGGCGACGAGCCGAGCGAGCCGGGCTGGGCCGGGCCGACGCGTGAGCAGGAGCAGGAGGAGATGGACCAGGCCGAGCAGGAGCTGAGGCGCGGCCAGATCCTGTGGTTCCGCAGCACGAACCGCATCAAGACACAGGTGCGTACGTCGCTCGCGGCCTCGCCGATCCGGTGCTCGCGTCTCCGCCGTCCGCCGGCGGAATAGACGTCGGGCTTTGTAATGGCGTGGCCGGACCGGATCAGTGCTAGGGTTGCCACCTGTCCCGGTTTGATAATAATTCAATAATAATTCAAATTCATAATGCGCATTCCATCCTAGGATCCCAATGCGTTTTCCCAGGAAACGTTCTCTTGTTGAGGCAAGATGCCATCCTGGCAAACCTCTAAGTCTTCCTGGGATGTTAAAAGTGGCAGTTTTTGTCAGTTGCGTGATAATGAACCGCCTGACGTGCGGTTCTATCTTCCTGCGGCGTTATTGCGGTATTCGTCTTCCCACGGTGCACCCCGGCTTTTTGTACCTCGGAGGTGGCAACGCTCGGCCCAAGTTGTCTCGGTGAGACGGGACGTATGGTTGACCTGAGGGGGCTGGAAAAAAAATAATGGCACGAGCGAAGAGCTTGTGAGCGGTTCAGAAGACGTAACGGTCAAGCAGCGCTATCAATAGCCACGTTAATGGGTTTTTTCGAGGATGAATGCATTTTAAACGTTGCTTTGGCTGCGTGTTATTTCTGATCTGCGTGACGATAATTACGAATAATAACGTTATGTTGTATACATAGCAGCGTCGTCGTTCTTGCAAATTGCATCTCACAATCACTGGGGAACCACAGCCGAGTTGGAAGGCAGCAATTGTCCAAGCTCTGATGTCCTCTGTATATCAAGGTGTTTTCAGCCAATTAATTAGTTTATATGTACGCGCGTGTTTGTATTCACTAATCGAATAAGGGCTGCTCGAGATGAAATATGCAATCCAAAGTTCCGTCCGATTCTTGCTCAAACCAATCGAGCTGTCAGTAACGTTTGTTTGTTGTCCTTCCCCTGCAACTCGAATTAGCACGGTTGACTACGTATGGTGCAAAATAAGTTCATCATACATACATACATAGTCCATATGTGTGGGCTAATGAAAGCAAATTTTTCTTTCAAAATGTAATTTTGCACGATTCCGGTAGTCCATGACATCTTGCAAAATTAGAGTGGCATTGTCGTAAACATGACCACCACTTGCAGCAACTCGTGAGCCACTGGGAGCAAAGAGGACACAAAGCTCTCATCTCGTTCGGCCCTCCCGGGCCCGTGTGACGGGCCCGGAGACGATCGTCGCGAAGCCAAAATTTCGGTTCCCGATTTCTGGCTGCGTCTTCCTGGAGCCGTTTTTGTTTCGGGCTTTCCAACTCGACTCTCACTCGCCCGTTTGCCGCTCCTCTCAATTGCCGGGCACATTTCCTCCACAGCCAACAAAAATGAATGTCGTTATGTTGTGAAGAGGGAGCGCGCCGTTTACCGGCCGTGCTGTACCGCGCGTAAGTAAAGGTTGTTAAAAAAACAATCTTGAGCGTACGAGCGTCGTAGCAACCCTCCCATCGTCTCTATTTCCCCAAGCTCTTATAATTGCCTTGCTCAATTAAAGAAACGCTCACTCTGATTAGCGGTTACGACTTCAGCAGCGCTGTTTGTCCGTTGCGGACCCGCTTGGCATTTTAGGCCTTTGACCCTTTTTATCAGAAACTGTGATTTAATAAAAAGGTTTACGGCCGTTTCTAAAACGTGCTATGGTGCCTAGTATTTACCGTCCGAGTATTTGCCGTCCGAGTATTTGCCGTCCGAGTATTTACCGTCCGTAACCGTTGCGTGCTCTGCGGTTGTTTTAGTTGAGCGTTCCTCCCTCCCCCTATCGCTATACTATCCTTCCCGTTTCTTAATGAAATTGCCTCGTATGTGTGTGTGTGTTAACCCACCCGACCTTTTGACCCCCCCCCCTCTCCTCCCGGGCCACCTGTGGCCAACCACTGCCTCGTCTGAGCGGCTGCTGCGTGTGTTTGCAGATGGGGGTGATGAGCGCCTTCCAGGGCGGCTCCCTCTATCAGGGCTCCCTGAGGCGCCAGGCCACCATAGCCTGTTCTCACCCTCGCGGGGCAGGCCACACTAACCCCTGCTCTCACGCTGTTCTCGCGCACGGCCGTGAGTCCTCGCACTCTTCTTTCTTTCTGGACCTCTCACCGTCCTCTCTCTCGCTCCCGCGCGGTGCCACGGTGTCATGTCCAGACGTTCATTCAATGGGGGAGGAGGAGGGGGGGATAGAGCAGCGGTGAAAGATGGTCTGATTTTTCTTTATACCGTTAGAAGTCTAAATCAAAGTGACTCACCTCTGCTCATGGACAAAGGCGGCCCTAAGACAGTGGTGGAAATCGAAACATTCCTATAATGGGAGTGTTATCTCAGCTTTGGGCAACTGCTGTCGGTGGTACTTATTTTATCTTCCCTGGAGACATGATGGACTGAGTTGACTTCCAATTGGGATATGAAGTCACGACATGCGTCAGGCGCTCTGCCACATCAGCCCCTGGTGGAATATTTCTACGGGGAGACGTAAATCGAACTTCTGCAATGGTCAGTTTTGTGGCATTCACTGACGGCGCAATTGCTGATGGAGAAGGACAAGGCCCTGTGGTTTGGGCATCCGATCCCCTCCCTGGCTCTACTCTGGACACGACACTCACAACCGCATCGCAAACACTGCCGTCCCTGTGTTGTGTCCACCGCGTGAAAATCTCCCTTATATTTCCCGGAAAATATTATTTACCCAAATGAAGCCAAACATCCCCTAACCCAGCACCAAATATTTTTTTAAAAAAATTGCACATTCTCGCAAAAGCAATCCATTCAATGTACACAGGGCAGGTTCTACAAGACATCTTGACCCCTTGCTGAGCCCTCGTTATTGACGGGCCCCACATCCGTCGGTTACGCGCCAATTGCTTCATGATCTGAAGCTTAATGGCCCCTGGAAGAATGCAGCCTCCGGCTTTGGGTTTGCAACGACGCCAACCGCCAGTTTGGGCAATTCTCATGGAAAAACACACAGTGAAGATGCCATTCATTCTCCTATGAGGTCATTTCCCAGAGACAAGGGAATTGCTGGATATATGGGATGTTATTGCGTCTTGCTCCTTGTCAGTACTCTGTCTTCTTAACCCTCTTGCTTTCCCTCTCCCGCATGTTTCTCAATCTCCTCCCCCCATTTTCTTTCTTCATTTTTCTGCCCTCCCACCATTCCCACCCCCCTGTTTCACCAATCCAGTGGTTCGTTCCAAACTAAATGCCTCTAACCCCCCCCCCCCCCACCGCGGCCCGTCAAGTGTTCTTGTTCATGCATTTGGTTTTGCGTGGTGTGACGGGCGCATTCACATAATCTACAAAAAGTCGGAGCGATTTTAATCGCCGTAACGTGACGCGCCTTTGTCCGCGGCAATGGTAATCCAGGCCGTAAAACGTGTGGGCATCTGTAAAGCTATCATCAAGTTACTAAAGAATGTTAGAACCAGACAGCGGATTTGAATTGCGTGGTTGAAATAGTGGCAGCATAGGATATATTTATTCCACAACGCACAACGGAAGCATTCAAAACACTCACAGTCGAGATGTTGAAATCCCATTGTGATGCCTGCCATCCACGGCGCAGCCGATATTGAGAGCGTTTTCAGGATGGAACTCATACGATAACATCTCCACAGTACCAACTGTGCTTGTGTTTAATTTCGTCGACCTAAGCTCAAACGAAAGGAATTATAAATCTCTAATAGTAGATGATACCTTGATGAACACCCCCTGTATGTTGTTTGTGGAACTCTTCGTGCCTGGTAGGCAATTTCTCATTGGTAATTACCGTAGAGGTGTAATGATATGTGTCATAGATTAATATTGATTATTAAGCAGACGATATAAAGTTAGAGTCACACATTGAAAAACTGACGTTTTTCGATTGGTACGTCACGTGCAATTGGTCTTAACATGACTCCTGCGGCCACTAGCGGCCGCTGTATTCACTGCATTGTTGAAAAATAAAATAATTGCTTCTTGAATTTAATTTGAATCACCATTGGGGTAAATTTGTACCACTTCTGAATGACAGCAAATTCTATGTTGTCTAACTCGGCACATTCCTGAATAATACTGTGCACCCTTAAACGGATATATATATATAAAATAGGCAACATTTCAGTCAATGACCCTTCTTAATGGCACATAAATAGAGAGGCCAGAGAGATCGAGTGAATAAGAGTTGGAGACTGCTCTTGTCAACAATTTGAGGCCTTATGAGAATAACATTTTAAAACCGTTTCCTGATGACCAGTTTTTAAATTGGCATATGAATAGTTACACTAATAATAGCTGTTGAGTAACAGACAAGCCCTTAAATAATCATTGCAACTCAATTGATAATCTGTTTGTAAAACCATCTGTCACTAACCATTAAAAAGCACCGTACTACCAAATTTACGAAAAATTTGCTGATTAAAAAAAGCATGCCGCATGAGTTTGCAGTCTTGGTAAGTTATGGGTAATCAGTTCTAAACAAGCAGTGTGTTTGGCCACCTAGTTGAATTTGTTTAGCTGGCCACAAACTGCTGTTAAATCACACTGAAGTCAGAATCAGAATATTTATACTGGAGGAATCTTATGAGCTATCAAGCTCTTTTTCACAGATGTCCAGCAGAAAAACTGGCCAGCGTTTCCAAAGTCTAAACAAATGCGACAATGATATACTGCTCCATGGAATATGTAATTTAATTTCTATGATCGGGCAAACTTTATTTTACTTTTATTTGATTAAATTATTATTTACAAAAAACAATAATAATGTCATTTTCTTAATCCATCGAAGCCTCACTGATTTTCAATGCACAGTGTCCCAGGAGGATGCTGCATTGGGATGTTTGTACAGTTCTGCCGTACTTAGTGATTGTTTTGCACGTGGGAGAAAACCGGTGTACCCAGAGAAAAGACACGCACGAGGGGATAACGCTCACACAGATGAGCTCTCAGAGTCACTCGTATAGAGTTAATGCAGGAGGGAATTTGGAAACGCGGAGACAACACTTGCATAAGAGGCAATAACACTGAACGCTCTGCACAGGTGGCTTTGAGCAACCATTTGTTGTACTAATAGCTCCTGGCCACCACGTAGCCTGGAGGGTTTGGGATTTCCACAAAACTTTACGTCATACATCAACCCTTGCGACAATTTTCTGAATAATGGGCATGTGCCACCACATGGCACGGTGACTCATGCCAGCCTTACAATGTGGTGAACGAAGGCAATGCCTGGGGCTCGTTCTGCTCAGTTTGCAATTTTGACTACGGGAGTTGCTGCATAATGTGATTAAACTATAATCTAATACATATCCTTTATTTTGGTTCGGTGTGTACATGTGTGTGTTATGGTAAACAATTTCTTGCCTGGGTGTTGGATTCACACTACTGAGTTAGATAGTGCTGCTGCAATAAACACTCTGCGTTTATTTTTTTTCCACAAGGATATGCTTGAGAGTGGTTTTGCATGTGACATTTATTCTCACGAAAATGTCACATGCCATTTCCCACATACTGACCACCTCTTACCCACCGTGCCTGCGTGCGTGTGGGCGGCTTTTTTGCAATCAACACTCCACGTTTATTTTTTTTCCACAAGGATATCCTTGAGAGTGGTCTTGCATGTGCCATTTATTCTCACGAATTATATCACATGCCATTTCCAACATACTGACCACCTCTTACCCACTGTACCTGCGTGCGTGCGGGTGGCTTTTTTGCAATTATATATTTTACATTTTGATTTAAAGCTTTCATGACTGCAGGGATTCATATTCTTGGTTCTTTCGGTAAAGTCACGTAGAAGGGAAACAATAAAATATATATAAAACAATAAAATTCTCACGACGTTTCGACTGCAACACAAGTAATCATCATAGGTGTGAAAACCACAGCAAGAAAATTTGAAAAAAGTGGCGGGTTTTTTTAACGTTAGTACCACGGAGAGCAATTTGGCAGTTATTCAGATGGACGAGTCCATCTATGTTCAGAAAAGAGGAGGGGGGAGACGAAAATAATTGATGCGGTCTGAAAGCCACCATAAGCGTGAACAATCAATTAAGACCCGAAATGGTTTATCAAATTCTTCCAATGATTGCTAAGCCAGAATACATCTTCTCGGTTGAAATTGTCTCTGTGTTTGTATATGTGGATAGCCTCATGAACGAATCTCATGGTAGCCAGATAGCTTGCAAAGAACCTCTGTCTTGGAGAAGTCAATGTCATGTGAGCCTACTGAATTATAACAGTGATCTGCCACGGCCGAGGTGTTGGTCCTACCGTGTTTTAGGTCTGCTTTGTGTTCACGAATGAGGTCCGAAACATGTCGATTCCGGACATACAGTACCCTGGCATCTACAAACTAAGTTGCCTCTGTGGTAGTAGTTACATTGGAGAAACCAAACGACATGTCTCGGACCGCATTCGTGAACACAAAGCAGACCTAAAACACGGTAGAACCAACACCTCGGCCGTGGCAGATCACTGTTTTAATTCAGTAGGCTCACATGACATTGACTTCTCCAAGGCAGAGATTATTTGCGAGCCATCTGGCTACCATGAGAGATTCGTTCATGAGGCTATCCACATATACAAACACAGAGACAATTTCAACCGAGAAGATGTATTCTGGTTTAGCAATCATTGGAAGGATTTGATCAACCATTTCGGGTCTTAATTGATTGTTCACGCTTACGGTGGCTTTCAGACCGCATCCATTATTTTCGTCTCCCCCCTCCTCTTTTCTGAACATAGATGGACTCGTCCATCTGAATAACTGCCAAATCGCTCTCCGTGGTGCTAACGTAAAAAAAAACCGCCACTTTTTTCATATTTTCTTGCTGTGGTTTTCACACCTGATGATTGCTTGTGTTGCAGTCGAAACGTCGTGATAATTTTATTGTTTTTTTATATATATATTTTATTGTTTCCCTTCTACGTGACTTTACAGAAAGAACCAAGAATATATTTTAAATGTCAAGCGTTTCATGTTTAACCTTCTACCACGACATTCGAAAGCGTCAAAGCATTATCTCCGTCCGCCCGTCATGCGGATAGCACGATAACACTTGCAAACGATGATCCAATATGATCGAACTGCTCTTATTAAATTGTGTCGCTATTGGGGACTTGCCCTATTAAATACTGAACACATTGATTGGCCAAAGGGAGATTGCCAAAAGCATTCAGACAAACCAGAGCAAACAGAACTGTTTTCAATTATATAAATTAGTGTTGCCCTGACAGCTCCCCCCCCCCCATTTGGCATATCGCTCATTAAATATTTCTGAAGACAAACGCATGTTGGAAATTGTTACAGAATCCACACATGCACATGATTATTCTTCATTGTTTTACTATTTAGTTTATACTGGTATGCAGACTGCGTTATTGTTGATGCTTGTAACTTGATCTTCATTTGCCATTGGCTGTTTGTTTTGAATTGCCGTGATGTATGATTATGCTGTTTATTTGTTATTAGTGTGTATGGTTGTTAAAACGTTTGTTTTAATTTGTCACGGAATTGTCAGTCTATCATATGACCATTTTCCTTATCATTACCATCATTACTCATACATAACTCTACTCATGATCTGATCGCTGGGTATCAGGACAAGTAATTCTAAACTTCCTAAATCGGTCCCAACACAAACAAGGCACAGGCTGATGAGAAGACAACTCTTGTCTCCAGTAAAGTTGTTGCCTGTTTGGAAATTAATTGGTCGGTCAATGTAAAGTATAATTTACAGTGAAATAAATAGTGTATTAAAGCAACTAGAATATGTATATCTTAATAGATAAAACAACTGTAGAATAACATTCCGTGCAGAATGATGATAAAGAATAACTGAGCCAGTTGGCTTACCTAACGATTGCACAGGATTATATAAAATAAAAACATCTGTAAGTTTTCCCATGAACACAACAACGAGGTTTTCGCCGTTGTGCTGTACAGCTACAACTTTTTTTTTATAATACATTGGAGAGTTATAATGCACTAAAGTTGCATTGCGCCATATGGCACACATTTACGGCGTGTTGTTTTTTTTTTTACTTCCATCGCAAACTATTTCCTCTCTCGTTGCCTTGCAGATCCACGTAGTAAGAGCGTTCCGTAGCTCGCTCTTCGAGGGATTCCAGAGCCCCGACCTCAACGCCTCCATCCACGAGTTCATGTCCATGCCAACCTACAGCATGGCCGACTCCTACACGGATCTACCGCTGGCTGTGGAGCAGGACCAGGCCGCCACTGCTGCCGCCCCCACGCACAGCTTTGAGATGGCTTTCTAGGCCAGAACCTGTCAACCCTAAGCACCCTGTAGCAGTGAGATATAGAGAATGTTATACGCATGGAAGCTGCAGGTCAGGTAGAAGTGAGAGGGAGGTCTGTGGTAAATGAGGGGTTCAGGCCAAGTGTTGCAACATGTCCTGGCATTCCTACGATTGTCCTCTGTGTGAGGCTACTGTCTTATGAAATATTTCAGTCTTCCCAGAACGTTAACATTTCTGGTTCTTGTCAATTGGGTAATGATACACAATGCAAGGCAATGCATTCACTTGTAGTTCTGCCTTCTCATGGTTTTGTGAGACATTGCTACTCCTTGTGATATATCCAATTTTGTACCTCAGAGGTGGCAACTCATAGACTGGTTATTGAGATTCCCAGGCCTGTTCGGAATGGAAGAGCCCTTCAATACACGCCACTGTTGCTCGTCAACACCCGAATGTCCAGGCGACACAAAATTATGAATTTTTAAACGCTGTTTCTGGGCCCTGTATACAGGCTCGGTAGATACATGTTGAACTATTTATAAATACCCCAGGAAGTAATAGGGAATTATTAAGACTCGGACAAAAACAAGCCACGTTATTTGTAATTCTCGACACTTCTTCCACCAATCTCGGTAAATCGTGTGACACTCTCCTCTGTAAGAAGATATGAGAGCCATCGGCTTTCACAGTTCTGTCTTCTACCACCCGTTGAGAAGAAAGTTACAGGGTCGTTAGAAATCAGTGGGGTATCTATAAATGAATCACCATGTACAAAAAAGAGGCCCCCCTTATGCGACCCAGCTCTGTGACCGTGCATGCCCGTCGGTGTTACTAAGGTGCGCGTCACACCGCCGGGTAATTGCCGTGCAAAAATCCACCCTCAATTGATTCGCTCCTTAATAATTCATCGCACGCGTTTGAGGCAACAGCTGCCATTATGAAGCCACATGCACTGTACGCTGAGCAAAAAGGACTGCACCTCAATGAGCAATAGGGTCTCTGTTGAGTCTTTGACAAGGAGGTAGTGGGGGGGGGGGTTATAACTGACGAGTGTACCACACTACAACGTTACAGGCGATCATTAAGACACCACGAACGAAAGTTGGGATTTGACGTGTGCGTTATTTATATTGCATCGCTGTAGCCGTAGGCCCTGGAGTGTAACAGTTGTGGGCAGTAAGATAACGCCGAGTGGTCTGTATATGGTGCGTCTTCGAAATACCATTCTAATCAGGGATGACTACCCCTGATATATCCGTTTTTTAATCCCGTTATTTTCATGCAGACCCAATCGATCCAATTTTTACAATGTGTAATGTTAGTTTGACATTTTTTTTAAAGGGTGACCTTTACATCAACGCAGCTCTGATGTTATATTGCTTGTACACAATAAAAACGTATGTATAAATAATACAGTCTAAAACAAATGGAAACCAAAAAAAACATCGATGCCACCGAAAATCATGAGACATTGATGGATGGAACCCACAATCCAATGCTGCAGTTGAAGTAACTTCAGAGGAACAGAACAAAAACACTGGGACTGCCTGGCGTGTGACAATTCTGCCGAGTGCCGAGACGTGGCTAGCAAGTCAGCACGTTCTGTTTAAGCGTAATTAGTGCTATTTTATTTTTGTTTCAATCTTCCCCCCCCCCCCCCCCCCCATTTTTAGGGGTCTCAGTAAAAAAAGAATCCCGTTATATGGGGCCCACTGTATATCCAAAATTGTAAACGACGCAGAAACCCAGTACGACACAAACATTAATGCAGGCCAGAAAACAAATAAATCATGTTGGGATGACCACAATTTTCTCAACTTGCTTCTTTTGAGCTGATGGGCCGGCAGCTTCGGTGCATCCAATGCGAGTCTGTGTTGCATTGTAAACTCCACGGTGTATATCCATCCACGGTTTTTCCAGGACACACACTGCACGTCTCATCATACATCTGGATGCAGGCGGCTTCTACAGCAGCAGGTGTTGCGTGCAGTCCGGAGGAAATGCTGTTTCTCAGTTCAGGGGCTTGTATACTGCCCAGAGCTCTGTAGTTGTGTATTGTTTTCAGTAAATGCATGGCTTCCACCGTTCTTGATGTAGGTGTCTTGCAGAGACTGTAATGAACGTCCAGCTGCTTTGTACTCGCAACTCCGGGATATGACCCGTGAATTATGAGTACATTTGACCGTACGAGGTGCATGCTCAAATGTGTAAAGGTACCACCACTCACCCCCCCCCCACGCCTAAACCTTGTGACGGAACAAGGGATGACCTCGATAATATAATCCAACTTTCGAAAGTGGAGTCTTCTGTGACTTTTCTGCTGCTGCTACTACTCGTGTGTGTGTGTGGGCGGCGAGGTTTGAGCTGATCTGAGTAGGAATTGTTTCAAGCAGAGATTCACTGCCCCCTTGTGGGAGTTTTCTTGAATGCAGTCACGTGAAGTGGGAGAAACTTTGAGGTTTGTTATCACAGAACTGGGTGTTGTTATAGTTTTGTTTTTTTCGGTAAAGTAATGTAGATAGAAAACAAAAAATAAAAAGGGTAAAATAAACTTTAAAAATAATAATAAATTGAAAATAATAAAAACAAAACAACCCACTGTGTTTTGATCGGAACACAAGCGGTCTTTAGTTATTAAAAATGTAACTACATTTTGTAACGACATCATTACATTAATAAAACCAGCCAGGTGCGTAGCAGCACCCTTAGGTTCCGCTTGCGAGTAGCTGACCAGAGATTGCACCTACTCTTAGACGGTTGGCTACGTACGGTGCGAAAGAAGTTGAACATGCATACATGTTCTTGATTCTTTCGGTAAGCAAGAAAATTTGAAAAAAGTGGCGGTTTTCAAATTTTCTTGCTGTGGTTTTCACACCTGATGATGATTGCTGGTGTTGCAGTCGAAACGTCGTGAGAATTTTTTTTTATTATTATTTTATTGTTTCCCTTCTACGTGACTTTACCGAAAGAACCAAGAATATGAATCCCTGCAGTCACGAAAGCTTTAAATAAAAAATCATGCATACATGCTTAGCATGTTGGTTGGAGAGAACACTGAGGAAGGTGCTCGGGTGGATGTTCCAGACCTTTTTTCGTGAACCAACTCACTATCACCCCTCAAAACAAATTTGCGGACCACCCCAATAGCATTTTTTTTAAACAAAAAAAAGTGTCTGCAAAAGTTCGGCGGACCACCGGTGGTCTGTGGACGCAAAGGGTTGGGAACCGCTGTGCTAGGGGAAGATACAGCACCATCATCTGAGCGGACGTCGAACTTTAAAAAAGATCGGACGTTGAAAAGGGCAGAGAGAAGTGGAGAGAGGATGAGAAGGAGATGTTGGTGGAGTTGAGTGGCCGTGGCACTAACGCCCAATATGGCAAGCGACTAGAAAAATACGAACATTGTGATTGAAGGTGTTTTGACTTAAATGGCTACTGGAATATTTCATAACTTAACGTTGAATTGTCATGTTTATTTTTTTTCACGAAGTAATGGCGTCACTACTTGTTTTTAATTTCACCAATAAGTGTTGCGGCTTTGTGCGTCGTTCAGAGGTAGGGAAGGGGATCAGACAAACACGACTAGAAACACTGCCACGTTTTGGCTGTCAACTGTTATAATTCACTTCACCAATGAGCCATTTCACATGCAGACACTTGGCTTCCACACTTAGCTCATCCACCCAGTGTGTATCTGAATGCTCTGTTCATCGTGATGCATATGCAGCCAGCCATTGTGTCAATCCACTACTGGATGAGGGGCTTCCCCATGGCGTTGTGGGTCGTGGGGGCTGTTTGACCATACTTCTCCACGCTGCTCACTGTGGATTGGGGCGTTGCGGTGGCGAGATGTTAACTACCTCGCTTGGTATGAAGGAGGTCGTGGGTTCGATCCCGACCCCAATGCCTGTATATTTGGAGTTTGCGTGTCTCTCTCCCCGTGGTCGCGTGCATTTTTCTCCGGGTCCTCCGGTTTTCCCCTCCACATTTAGAAACATGCATTAAGAGTAATTGGCTACTATGAATTTCCACGTGATAAGCCACTTCGTTGAGCTATCATTTGTGGCCAGGTCGCTTCTAAAAATATCTTACCTGTTAAAATAAAATTAGTTATAGTTATAGATTGGTGACGGCGGGTAGCCAAGACCTGGGAGCTTATAATTCCAGCGGGGTAATGGATTGTGTTGCAATGCCCAAAACGTGGTTTCGCAGCTCCATCGCGACTTGTTGCATTGGGGCCGCCCATCCAATGGATATCCAGGCTCAATCGTGCTTATCTTCCCAAGTTTTAACGAGATCGGATGTATTACGTGTGGCTTGGTCAGAGGCTCAACATAACAACCGATGCTTTATTTGACTTGTGATTGTTCAGTACAATTCCAGAAGATATTTTACCAAGCATTCCGCTGCTAAGAGGTAAAAGCGCAGCCCTGCAAGTGCTCGCTTATGTCACTGCTGGAGGGGAGCTCAAGAGAGCCCCCCTCTTGAGGAATCTGTGCCGACTGTTCCATGAGCTAATAAAGTAAATATTTCATTAAAATAATTTTAACATTAAAATATATATTTATATTCTATTAACCAAATTTTACACAGTGAATGTTCCTTCGCATTTATTTTTTATTTGGTGAAAACGTGCCGATGTTTCTATTGCCTCCAAATGGGGCAATGGAAATGTGTTGAGGCCAAGTTTGTCACGTTGTCAATCTGCCCTTACATGTAAAAAAGAAAAGGTCGTTTTAAATCGAGTTGTATAGTCGTTGATTGTTTTTGTTGTTTTATGTCGGTGTGGGGATGGCTCCGTAATTGAATGCCCCCCCCGCCGACTTCCCCGTAATGAGTTGTCAATTCTGCACGGGCACATGGTGACAGCAGCACAGACGAGAGTTTAGAGATCTTAACTAGAGTGTAGAGAAAACAATTGTACTCAAGAATAAACAAACATATTAACGGCTTATAAATACGGCTTATAAATGACTTAGTTTTAATTTCTTTAGGAAAGAGAAAGTGGTGGCTTGAGCCAACGTGGCCAGTTATGCTCTTTCCCTGGTTAAATCCACACCTTTATTGCCAGTTAAGAGTTTGTATAATGACAAATTACCGGAACAAGTGTTTTTTTTCCATGTAAGTTACTGTACAGGTTTATTTTATTTTTTAGATGTTAAGAATACGGCTGATATGTTAATTGCCTACATTTTTCGTGTGAAAATGTGGGCAACATCAGCAGCAACACTATTCTTAACCGCGTCACCATTGCCATGGTGCTGCCTCGGATGGAAGTTAAAGTGGCGCACGAATGAAAACGTCTGCAGCTGAGCTTGCACAGTCGTGAACGACTACTTACGGCGACAATTATACATTTTAAACGTCTTATCATTCCGTGGCCTAACTTCAAATATCACATTGGTTGCGAAAACCTGCGTGTGACGTTTAACAATCCACTGTCATTGAAGTTGTTAAACCTGGATCAGGTTTTTAGACTCGTGGAATGAAAGAACCCAGACCAGCCTGGTTTGATTGCCTGTGGGATACAGCTCTTGTAAATGAGCTGTATACTGTCGAACAACAGTACCCTTCTAAATTGTGTACATTAACAGTGCAACCCAAGGACCAATTCCACGTGTTACCAATTAACTGGATCACGTTCCAATCGTGCGAGGGTTGTGTATGCATGAACTGGTATTGTGCATCCCCATGAGTCATCATGCCACCGCACAATTCGTCTGTTTTTGGGTGATATTTATTTCCCCGTCCAATTTGTCCGTCGCTAACACGTGGCGCGTGTGAGCGAGCGCGTGGACATGCCGACATGACCAGAAATCATCCTAAAAATGCACCAATACTCTGGATTGTTCTTTATTTAGCCGGAGGGTCAAAGTTCAACTCTAGATCAACAACAGGCATTTGAACAGTAGGAAATATGGGGCACGGTCCATTTGGTGAGAGCAGTATGCTGCGTGCTATTTATAGATGTGTCTCTCCGAGCCATTTCACGTTCAGCGACGCCAGCATTCCTAGACGTGGAACAAAAATGGAGCACAGGTACAGCAAATTGCGTTTTTAACAAAAACAAAAAAAATACCTGTGCTGGCCTTTCATGCTTCACCGGCTGCTAGAGGTGAATGTTCATGATGTGTGCTTTTTAAAAATGTCCTTGTAAAATGTAACAGCATCTTGTATATTATATATTGCTTTGCCTGTACACCGTACATTGAAAATGTGTTGTGATGACGCCTATATTTTTTGGGCACATTATCACCAAAAATATAATTGTCCCTTTAACCGTTTCACATGTAACATGTGTGCAAACAAATGTTGTCAGCATTAAACGGATGACGTAGTGAGGTTTATGTAAGCCTGTGTTTTTAAACATACTGTAAAAAATATAAGTAACATGCTTATACGTGAACAGTAGTGAGTGTTTTGGGAATAGGCTAAAGAAATAAAACTCGGGGTCGAAGCTGGAATAGGCTGTAAGGGTGCGATGGATATGAGAGTTTGGAGGTATACATTTGGGAGTACGTTTTGTAGTTTATTGACTAAAATTGGTCAAATTTAGGCAGATAAGGCATTTTCGCATTGGAGGGAGGTCCAGTCACTTCATCACAGAATAGCTGTTTTGGAGGGGACACACCGATGCAGTTTCTGCCAACTGATGTAAAATTTAGCTCATAGTGCCTTTTTAAATTATTTTCTTCAACCAACTTTTGAACATCGCATGCATTATTTTGTGATTACCAATAAACTAAATAAATGCCCTAATGATCATGCACGTGTGAGTTTCCAAATCGTTTTGTTCTCTCCCAGTTTCGAGACTTGTGTGAGTGGTTAGTAATCTCTTTAAGTTATCTTGCCAAACAGCAGGTGTATGAGTCAAACTCTCTGCATCCAAAGTTTTCCTGATGCCCCCAGTTTAACCGTGCATCGCCATTCTGTTCTGGAAATTATCAGAGGTGTTTTGGAGAATATTATAAAACTAAACTATTTCCCCCCCCCCCCAGGTAATGGCCCACTCAGCTATATAGCTCTTTCTCAGAAGTGACCTGGCCACAAATGATAGCTCAACGAAGTGGCTTATCATGTGGAAATTTATAGCAGCCCCAATACTCTAAACGCGTGATTCAAAACGCGGAGGGAAAGACCGGAGGTCCCGGAGCAAAATCCACGTGACCACGGGGAGAAATTGCAAACTCCAAATATGCAGCAGGCGTCAGGGTTGGGATCGAACCCACGATCTCCTGTATGCCAGGCGAGGGAGTTTAAACATAAATTAGCAAACAATAAATGTCCGTCACATATGCGTCTCTGTACATGGAAAAGGCATAGTATTTCTTACACACCAGACACACGGCCTGATGGGTTGTGTATCAGCCGCGGAGCCTGACTGGGCCTCTTGAGTCATGGATACCGAGGGACAAGTTGGGATACTATCGCTTCGACTTGCTCCTCTAAAGTGTGTTATTGGGCGACACTAGCGTGCAGTCTAAGGGGCCGTCCATAAATGACGTCACGCACCTAGGGGGGGGGGGGTCAGACATTTGTGACGATGTGTGACGAGGGGGGGGGGGGGTTGAGAAATGTGACGGCATATCAAAATGCGAAACTTTAAATAAATATAGACAACACGTTCTACTGAATTAAATAGACTTTTTAATATATGTTTTCTACAACATCAAGAGTCCAGCGCCACATTAAATACGCACTGCAATGACAATAGTTTAAAGCGATATAAAGCATGTTTTTTCGGGGGGGGGGCAGAGCTTTGTGACGTCATATTTGAGGGGGGGGGGTCTGACTTTTTGTGACACCGCGTGACAAGGGGGGGGGGTCAAAAATCGTCCAAAATCGCGTGACGTCATTTATGGACGGCCCCTAACATCGCGTTCCTCTTTGCTCAAACGAGCAGTGGCATGGCTCACACGTCTCTGTATAAATGCCACATACCCATGGCAGTGGTTCAGTTGCTCCACACGAACACAAATGTTGACTTTCTATATGGCACTCATTTATCGATCGACGGAGGGATCGATGTATTCCATGCCGTTTTCTCTCGGGTCTCATTCACACGGCTAAGTGTTAGCCCATTTTCCCCAGATAATAGTTAAAACTGTTTAACACGTAGGCTTTTGCGACCAATAACATGCATAATAAAGTGTTTTGGGTTGGATCGCTTAAATGTATGTGTCGTTAAACCCGCCTCCACCCGACACAGACAATCAATAAGGTTTGTGACGTAAACAGCACATGCCAATTCGTACGAGTACAGCACACCGATGTGTTGGAAAGCTAAGCCACAACATTTCAAATGTTGACAAACCTCACTAATTGTTTGTGTCGGGTGGTGGAGGGTTTAACGACAAATCTATATATTTACGCGATCTTTGACAAACAACCTGTATGGTGAATAGTTAAAACTACCACATTTCTGGCTCAACCGATAAAAGGTGGCGCGTGCTGGCACCGCCCACTTCTCACAGGCCCCGCCCACTTCTCACAGGCCCCGCCCACTTCTCACAGGCCCCGCCCACTCACCTGCTAGCACCGCCCACTGATCGAGTAGACCCGCTCCTGTCTCTGGAAGCCTGGCACGTAGCTTCTTACGTATAAACTGCTCTGTGTAAGAACTGAAGTACATTATAAGTACTACACTGGATCATTTAGGAAGAAAATGGTCTGACTGCTGTATTTGACACATAACGCTGAATCGTTATCAACATAAACACAAATGCGAACATTTTATTTTTATTATTTCTTGTTTGTATTGACTTTAAAATCGCGTTTCGGCTGCAATCGCTTCCCGTGGCCGTTGCCGCGACCTCCGACCTCGTGCAGCGTTGTCCAATCAGAGGTGAGGCGCGCGCTTACGGCGGCAAAACGCGAACGCGGAGACGGAGACAGCAACAAAGACAGAGACACGTAGAGACACAGAGACACGTAGAGACACAGAGACACGTAGAGACACAGAGACACGTAGAGACACAGAGACACGTAGAGACACAGAGACACGTAGAGACACAGAGACACGTAGAGACACAGAGACACGTAGAGACACAGAGACACGTAGAGACACAGAGACACGTAGAGACAGAGACACGTAGAGACACGTAGAGACACAGAGACACGTAGAGACACACAGAGACACAGAGACACAGAGACACGTAGAGACACAGAGACACGTAGAGACACAGAGACAGAGACACGTAGAGACACGTAGAGACACAGAGACACGTAGAGACACAGAGACAGAGACACGTAGAGACACAGAGACACGTAGAGACACAGAGACACGTAGAGACACAGAGACACGTAGAGACACAGAGACACGTAGAGACACAGAGACACGTAGAGACACACAGAGACACGTAGAGACACGTAGAGACACAGAGACACGTAGAGACACAGAGACACGTAGAGACACAGAGACACGTAGAGACACAGACACGTAGAGACACGTAGAGACACAGAGATAGAGACACAGAGACAGAGACACGTAGAGACACAGAGACACGTAGAGACACAGAGACGTAGAGACACAGAGACACAGAGACACGTAGAGACACAGAGACACGTAGAGACACGTAGAGACACAGAGACACGCAGAGACACGCAGAGACACGTAGAGACACAGAGACAGAGACACGTAGAGAGACAGAGACACGTAGAGAGACAGAGACACACAGAGACACGTAGAGACACGTAGAGACACAGAGACAGAGACACACAAAGACACGTAGAGACACGTAGAGACACAGAGACACGTAGAGACAGAGACACACGTAGAGACACAGAGACACAGAGAGACGCAGAGACACGCAGAGACAGAGAGACACAGATACACAGAGACACAGAGATACACAGCAACAAAGACAGAGAGACACGCAGAGATAGAGACGCAGATATAGAGACACAGACAGAGAGACACAGAGATACACAGATACAGAGAGACACAGAGACAGACACGCAGAGAGACACAGAGACACGCAGAGAGACACAGAGACACGCAGAGAGACACAGAGACACAGACACGCAGAGAGACACAGAGACAGATACACAGACACAGCTACACAGACGGCGAAAGAGACACAGACAGGGAGACGGTGAGACGCAGAGACACGTATAGACACAGACACAGAGACGCGGAAAGAGACGGAGACACGGAAACAGACACGCATAGAGACAGAGACACATAGACAAACACATAGATACACATATATACACAGACAAAAAAAAACATACAGAGACATTGAGTCGCAAAGGTAAAGACACATACATATACAGTGAATACAGAGACGCAGACACGGGCAAAGACACACACCGTAGGTGAAGACAAAGACACACGCATAGACTAAGTCGTTTAAACAACATAAGATAGACATAGACAAATACGCACAGACGCGCAAACAATTACAGACGCACATAGACAAATGCACACAGAGTCACAAAAACAAACACACTCACAGGCAGACGCACAGGCAGATTAAAGGGCGAACGTGACCCGAACGTGACCTCGAGGCGCTGAAAGTGAAGAAGAAGAAGAAGGCTGGGCAGGACCCTGGGGACTTCGTTGACTAAGGGCCAAGTTCACACACGAGGATGACTTCTGTACTGGTGAGATGTCTACCTCTAGGAGCCAGAGCTTGGGGTCATTTGGGGCCCGATGAAAGTTACGTGGCCGGTTAGTGGGCAAATATTAAACACTGTGTTTTATGCGTTGTTTTTACATATTGAAATCTGCTTGCTGGCTGTGCAGTTTAATTATGGAATCTCTTTAAAAACAATAGTGCTTGTTCTAATTGGCTATTGATTGGTTATTAATGTAATCTGTTTAACGAAGGTTGACGGTGCATTCATTTGTAGTTTTTATGCAACTGTCCACCGGATTTCAGGTCCATGCAGTGTTTTTTATACTACAGCCTTACGTATAAGAAACCATTTAGATAAGAACCACATGTTTCAACACAGCTTCAACACAGCTTCGCTCACTCAAATGCATTTTTAATATCGTTCCTAAATCTTTAATTTGTACTTAACCCCAACATGGATTTGCAGTTATTTGATTAATTGAAAGCCCCCCTTTAATAATGACTGGATGCTAAGACAACCTATGTAACTGGTACGAGAAGATAGACTCGTTTGGACTAATTTCAATTCTATATACCACTATCTTATGAAGATATTCTTCCAACAACACGCAGTTACACCGAATATATTGTGTATCATTTTACTGTTATGAAAGAATGATACTCCCTATTCGCGTTGTGCATAGATGTTCTTGCGTGTGCATATTTTGCACTAGATTTTCGAGTGCGTGTAATTATATTTTTTGTACTTTATTTACAGTGCCGTAGGCTTGCTAGATGGTAGTAGTGTTTTAATGCAATTGCAGTGTTTGCATTATGACACTGTAACGTTTATAAATGCTGCTCTGTGCCAAGACAGTTGGCCTTTTAAAATGCCTCCACGTGTTGCCATGGCAGGAGGACCCAAGCCTGGAGAGGCACTTCAAGGGCCACCGAGACACGATTACCAGCGTGGACTTCAACCCCAACATGAAGCAACTGGGCAAGTGTTGTGCCCAGTGTCCAATCCTAATCGCTAATCTTTCAAACAGGATCTATCCACTGCTAGATGCAGGCCTTCCCAAACTGTTACCGTCGCTCACGGTCTTGCGATGTGACAATCCATCTTTATATAATTGAGATTTTTGGGTTAGATTGCATAAATATAAATGTGTCATGAAACCCGCCACCACCAGAAAACTTCTGTTATGGATAATATTGGTCGCGAAAGCCTACTTATTAAACCAACTAATCCATCTTTAGCGTGAACACGAATAGATTTCACCACTCCGTCTCCCTGGTAGAATTCCTCTCGGACATGTCCATTCTCTGTCTGTCATTTTGTTGTTAGCCTTGACCATCGGGCGTTATCTCTTCTAGCGGTGTGTCCTGATCTGCCGGTAATTTTTTTTAAAGAATCCATTTGGAATGCTGTTCAAGTAGTGCACCGCAATTGTCTGAGAAATGGCTGTGGTTGAGATTTTTCACAGGATAAAAAATCCTTCAAGTAGCCTTTCTATCCTTTCGACAGTAGGGGTTGATTAGATTTAAAATGTCTGTTACACTAATTATCAAAGCTGCAAACTTAAGCACAAAAGCAAATTTTACTTAATGATTTGTGTGCAATCAAAGGTGTCCAGCCTGAGACCATTGACCCAATACTTGAGAACCCGGTTTAATAACGGGTGGCTACCCCCCGGATTAAACACAGCCGCTTGCGGCGCCGACTTCAGAGACATTTGGCCACCTTCCTCTCTGTTTTGTTAAGCGTGCCTGTGTGCATGCGTGCGTGCGTTGCAGCGAGCGGTTCCATGGACGCCTGTCTCATGGTGTGGAACTTCAAGCCGCAGACGCGCGCATACCGCTTTGTGGGCCACAAGGACGCCGTGATGAGCGTGCAGTTCTCCCCGTCCGGCCACCTCGTCGTGTCGGCCTCACGCGACAAGACGGTCCGACTGTGGGTGCCCAGCGTGTGAGTGTCGCTCGCGCATGGGGGCCCCCCCTCGTCATCAGCCTTCGAGGAAGGGCGCAACAAAAAAAACACAGACGCGTTATTGCGCGGTTGCGCGCCGAGACCATGCGCGTAACGGGCTGTCTGGCACAACAAAAAAGCAATTCGTGCACCACGCGCGTGGATTCCGTAACGCTTTGCGTTGTGCGTTCGTCCTCAGCAGTATTTAATTGGCGGTAACAATGACGTCGTGTGTAACGACGTGTGCGTGCCACACGTGCGACAGGAAAGGAGAGTCGACGGTGTTCAAGGCACACACGGCCACCGTGCGCAGTGTGAGCTTCTCGGCTGATGGGCAGTCTCTGGTCACCGCCTCGGACGACAAGTCCATCAAAGTGTGGACAGTCCACCGCCAGAAATTCCTCTACTCCCTCAACCAGCACTCCAACTGGGTCCGAAGTGCTAAGTAAGTTCTCATGCTGAGGTTTGTATGTGTTTTACTGATAACCAATTTGTAAAAAAAAAAATCTATTGGAAGCCATGCTGAGCACAGGTTACTTTGAAATATAATCACTTGTTGTTATAGATTATAATTTATTGCAGTTTATCCATTCAAGCCACTGAGATTGATTCGATGAAAATGTATTGTATGCACAATTTGTACACAACAGAAATGTGATGTTCTACTCAAAGGCCATGGGGTGGCCGTCACCTCTTCATTACAGCCCTGAGCCATTTGTATAAACTCCGCATTCCTATGGTGGGTCAGGTTGTTCCATAGGACAACAAAGTGGTACTCACTTTATCAACCAAAGAGAAATTAAGTGCCGAGTCAACTCTGGACCAATATTTTTTATTTACATCATCACTCTGATAGCAGGTCCTCTGTGTATGCTAGTACAACTACAAATTGGTCAAAATCATTGGTGCTATAGACATCGGGCGGGTGGCAATGTCTCGATCTCCGCGTGTCGTCCCACCTCCTCGGTGATGCAGATTCTCGCCCGACGGGCGGCTCATTGTGTCGGGAAGCGACGACCGCACGGTGCGCGTGTGGGACTCGAATAGCCGGGAGTGCGTGCACACCTTCTACGAGCACGGAGGGTTCGTCACTGCCACCCTGCTGCCCACACACACACAACTCCTGCTGCCCACACACACAGCTCCTCCTGTCCACACACACAGCTCCTCCTGTCCACACACACACACACAGCTCCTGCTGCCCACACACACACAGCTCCTGTCCACACACACACACAGCTCCTGCTGCCCACACACATAGCTCCTGCTGCCCACACACACACACACAGCTCCTGCTGCCCACACACACACAGCTCCTGTCCACACACACACACAGCTCCTGCTGCCCACACACACACAGCTCCTGCTGCCCACACACACACACACAGCTCCTCCTGCCCACACACACACACACAGCTCCTGTCCACACACACACACACACAGCTCCTCCTGCCCACACACACACACAGCTCCTCACGTCTCGCACACCTCACAAGGGAGCCGCGGACAGGTTGAGATGTCACACGCCACTGATGTTAGCCGTGGCCGGGAGTCAAACTCGCGACGCCGGGTTTGTAGAGTGCCGTGGGTTAACCACTTACCTTGTGGGTCTACGAATAAAGTACAATGCAACTGCAAAATAATGTTCTCTTATGATTCAACCACATTCATCAATAGCCTTGCGCTAAAAGGAAAACTAAAATTTTAATAGGCACCGTCTTGCATAGACCTTCATAGCATGTAACATCGTGCTCATGCGCCACTATGAAATCACAAAAAAGGTAGTGATTAGGCTGTGTAATCATGGGTTATCGGGCTTGAGTTCAAGGGTAAGTTTATAGAAAAAGAGAGACTTGAAGTTCTCGCAGGCAAGCCATTACTGCACTGTAGTGATATAACTGTGCCATCACTGCTTTACATTTCATTACAAATTAGTGGGGTGACATCCTGCGATGTCATGCTGGAAAGTAACGTTACAGTGTTTTCTCATGAACGAAGCTTCACACTCACTTTGAGTAGCCCAAATCTACACGATAATAAACTATTTTTGTTTTTAGTTTAGTCTTCCTCTATGTAACCTACCTTCCGTGAGCAACTTTAACAGTTGTTACCAAAGCCAAGGATCTTGGCTTCCGAGTGGCAACGTCCACCCTTCCTGCCGTGCACAGCTTCGTGAACCAGGTGGACTTCCACCCGAGTGGGACGTGCATCGCTGCTGCGGGCACGGACAACACGGTGAAGGTGTGGGACATCCGCATGAACAAGCTGCTGCAGCACTACCAGGGTGAGAGCTCTCACCCTCCTCACAAAAGAGTGGAGGCTCAGTGATGCTGTCCTTTATATATACTAGCTGGCGGGGGGGTGGCGTTACCCGGACCCAAGGGATGAGGTTGTTCATAACATTACACATCACACTCTCTACTGCATACAGCTCAGATATTGTACACGTGTGTGTAATGTTACATATCCCCACCATGTACTATAGCTGAGCTGTGAACAGTAAATGTTGAGGGTATTGTAATAAGAAGTTTCTGTCGCCAAAGAAAAGTCACGTCGGTGATAAATCGTTACACAGTGAGATAAAAGACACATTGATGAGGTGTTACCCATTAATGTTGTGCAACAAAAGCATCTGTGTATTGACATTGCGCATACTCATACACCCTTTGCCACAACACGGTTCAGATGCAGTACATCTGTACATGTAGAATCAATCGCTGGACTCTGAAACAAAAGCGGTGTATAAAACAGGCACTTTCTGTCAATCCCCGAATGTAAACACACGCACGGAACTACTAACTTTTATATGCACTGTAGATGTTCATAATAAAGGTTTTTGGGTTAGATCGTGTCATTTATAAATGTGTCGTAACCCTCCACCACCCGACACGGCCAAACAGTAAAGAAATGTCACGTTTACAAAGGACAAATAGTTCACTACTTTAGCCCACCGGTGTGTTGAAGAGTGAATCAACATTGAAAATTTGAGTACGACGTTTCGCTGGTAATTACATCCAGCTTCATCGGGAAATTTGCCAGAATGGTGAGGCTCTCCTCTTGCTCCCGGTCTTAAATAGAGCAGCAGCAGCAGGGTGACGTCATCATTTAATTCACCCAGGTGCAGTGATTTGAGTCGGTGTTGTTTGGGGGATTTGTTTATCTTTCTCGTGTTGTGCTGTTTGTTGTGACGTTCTTACCCCGTGCCCCTAGTGGACATTTGTGAAAAAGAGCTTTATAGCTCATCGGATTCCTCGTGCCGTATAAATGTTCAGATTCTGATGTACATCAGTCCAATGATGCCAAATAAAAATCTGTAATAATAATAATAAATCGCGTTACCGGCATCTGCTTTGATCCAAATTGCTCACCGTAGCTGTTCGGCTGTTCGGAATGTACAAATCGCTCAGCGGGGGAACGATACCAACAGTTTCGCACGGACTTATACGTTAAAACATAAAGAACAAACCAAGACACAGTATTATAACATTGCTGCAACTGTTATTGTACAATGATTAACAAATTACAATTTAAATCAACGGAATAGGGTAAAGTTTTATTTGTAAAATTGTAAAATAATGGAATACAAGCACCGCTGTGGTTGGTTAGTTTCTCTCTCCGTGGGTTTTAGCTACACGAATCGCGGAGAAATAATTTTATGCAATTGTAATTCAACTTTAAAATATGTTATAAATATAAAACACTTATTAATTGTGTAAATTTGGTTTTGGCCAATCAACAGGCGGGAAAGAAAGAGCGTTACCGTGACACACGCACACGTGCACACACTGCTAACTTATAGATATATATAAAACACGTTCTTGGTTCTTTCGGTAAAGTCACGTAGAAGGGAAACAATAAAATTATAAAAATATAAAACAATTATCATGACGTTTCGACTGCTTTGGTTTTCACACCTGATGATGATTGTAAAATTTTGATTTAAGAAAATTTTAAACTTTTTTCAAATTTTCTTGCTGTGGTTTTCACACCTGATGATGATTGCTTGTGTTGCAGTCGAAACGTCGTGAGAATTTAATTGTTTTATATTTTTATTATTGTATTGTTTCCCTTCTACGTGGTGACTTTACCGAAAGAACCAAGAATATGAATCCCTGCAGTCACGAAAGCTGTAAATCAAAATAAAACACGTTGTTGTCCTAGCTCCTGAGAACCAGTTTGCTTGACATTTACAACTGAAACCTGGGAGGAACCGCCTCGTTAAGCAGAGCAGTATGAGCACCACCACGTTATTGGCATCTTTATTACCTTCATCATCGCCACTGTCATCGTTCATTGTTTATTGCTGTGTTTGTTTAGCCATGCAACTATACCGGGTGGCACCGTGCATGGGAATTATTTATTTTGCATGTGACCGATGCCTACCTGTACGCATAGATCCCATTGGCAGTCCACTGCTGGATAAGGGCCTCCCCACCACTCATTAATAATTGCTGGAATTTATCATTTGTTATATTGTGCTTTTTTTACCAAATTCTACCTTTCTACAATTGAATGTAATTGCAATCGGCTCTCGCCTGGTTATTAATAATCGTCAGAATCCTTACATCAGATAAATTTTAGTTTAAATGCCATGACATGTTTTTTTCTCCTCCTTCGTGTTAATTTTTATTTGCAGTCCACGGTGCGGCGGTGAATTCCCTCTCCTTCCACCCGACCGGGAACTACCTCATCACCGCCTCCAATGACTCGACCCTCAAGGTCCTTGACCTGGTGGAGGGGCGCCTCTTCTACACTCTGCACGGCCACCAGGTGGGGCTGCTCTCGAAACCCAGGTCGTCTACTACGGCGGAATTGGTTTCATCGTTGCCAAGGCTGACACTTGATGGTGGTATTCCAACACATTTATACAGGGATACAAATAGGAAAAAGAAAGATACGTGCTTTTGGAAATACACTGAGAGAAAGACAGAGGAGCACGTGGCTTGGTGAACTTACGCAGGTTAATGGCAATTCACAACTTTACAAAGGGTAAGTGGCATGGGGTGAGACGCGTAGCTAGAAAGGGGGCTGGTGGTCGGTGGATGAGATTAGTGGTTGAGTCACAACCGGGGGTGGGAACATCCCCACGAGGATGTCCACCGTGGACATGGAGCCATGAGATCGGCTTGTGTGCGAGTGCTGGGTGGATGGCTGCATAGTTTCCAGTTCTTCCCCCACACCTCCAATTAGCACGGTTAGCTATGTACGGTGCAAATAATTTAACATACATACAACACGGGACTGAGGGCCAGCGATTGCTCGGCGAGCCCTTTACCCTGCAACGGATTGATCATGGCTAATGATGATGATGATGAGTTATGAAAAAGCAAGCAAGTTGCTTACAATTGTTCTTGTTCTGGCACATGCCCACATTGATCATTATTGTCTGTCCGCTCGAATCTCATGAATTTGTTCGTCGCTTGCTAAGATGCGTTCATGAAAGAGTTTAGTTTAAATGTAAAACATTTGAAATGCAATCTCGGCGTTGTTTCTCTCTTCAGGGCCCAGCCACAGCAGTGGCTTTCTCCCGTGCTGGGGATTTCTTTGCATCGGGAGGCTCCGACGAGCAGGTGGGTCTGCGTCGGCATTTATTATCCTCGGGGTGCCGACCCACCTGTGACGTGTTTCTGTCTTACCTTAAGTACCACTCCACTAATACCGGCATCGAGGCGAAATTGACGTCACCATCAACCGCATCAGAACATCAGCAGGCTGCTGCGTGCATCTCCTTCATAAATGGAGAATTAAAGACAAACCACAGTGCGACTGTTGCCATGCTAACCCAAACTATGGACCATGTAGTAAACCACTGTTGTCTGCGCTCCTTCAATGGAGGAATGGTGAAACTACACAAACTCTCTGCTGAAGCCCTCTCGTGGCAAGCAGAGCTCGACATTTTGCTCCTGAGCGTATCGCCATACGCCAAGGATAGAATAGAACACGTTAGCCTGTTTCACAGGCGGCCAAATCTCCTGGAATCCACCCAGTCTCATCAGATCTGGGAAGCTCAGCAGGCTTGAGACTAACTCCTATGATCAACGACTACCACGAATAAACAATTGCTTTTTGTGTTTAGTTTGTTGTCTTTTCCCCCGCACCACCGATTAGCTACGTACGGTGCGAAAGAAGTTCAACAGACATCCATACAAGATCAGTTTAACACGTAGGCTTTCGCGACCGATATCATCCATAAACCCGCCACCACCCGACACAGCCAATTAGTAAGGTTTGTCACGTAAACAGAACGTGCCAATTCGTTACTAGTACAGCACACCGATGTGTTGGGGAGCAAAGCCACGACATTTACAATCTGAGCACGACGTTTCGCCAGTAATTCCAAAGAGCTTCATCAGGCGACAGCCAGAGTTGTGGCGGGTTTAACGACACTTTTATATATTTTATGCGATCTAACCCAAATAAAAACCTGTTTTATCCATACAAGATGCTGAAGGATGCTGCAGTGCTGCATTGTGGGCAGCAGAGGGCAGTGTAGCAAAGTCTGTTATTGTACGAATCTATATGCTTAGCTGCTGCCACTGGTATGTTGCTACCTTCACAAACCTGCCGTGACCAGAGTGGGGAAGTATGGTAAAAACCTCCTCAACCCGCATCGTGCTTGGAAGGCCCTCAGCCATTGAGTAACTAAAGGGCTGTGCATGTACACGTGTCCTTCTTGGTTATCATGTCAAGTCCATAATACTTGATGAAAAGGTGTTTAATTATGCATGAAAACTATAAAAAAAAACTGACGGTATTGTATTGAAAGCCGTGGTGTGAAGTTTAGCTCTCTAGAGCTCCGTCCCATGGAAGTTTTTTTTCTGCCAACAGTTGCATGAGCAGGCAATTGCAGGACTGAATCTTTACAATACTGTGTTAGTGACTGCATTGATTTTTTTTTCTCTGGATATGCCTTTAGCTGCTGAGCTCTTAACGAGTCCAAGGAAAGCATCTGTCTCTGCCTTAGGTTTCCTTGAGTCTTCAAATGCTCTCTGGCTCTAGGTGATGGTGTGGAAGACAAACTTTGACTCTGTGGATTACTCGGAGGTTCTGAGGAGCCACAAGCAGAGGGCAAACCCTGACCCACCACCCTACGTCCACGACATCCCACCTCGCTCCCCACGTCCCCACAGCCAAAGCGCCAACAGCATTCAGGCACGTTGCTCACTCACTCACTTGCTCACCTACTCACCCGCCAACTCTGCCACTCACTTGCCAACATGCCTATTAATTTGCCAACTTGCCCACTGATCTGCCAACGCAGTCACCTACATGCCAATTCACCCACTTACATACCAGTTTGCTCACTCACCTGCCAATTCAACCACTCATGATCATCCTCTCACCTGCCAACTCACCCACTCGCCTGCCAACTCACCTACTCGCATGCCAACTCACCCACTCGCATGCCAACTCACCCACTCGCATGCCAATTCACCCACTCACATGTCAACTCATCCTCACACCTGTGCACGCACGGAAGCGTTGACTTGCCTGTATGTCCACCTGTGCAAAAAAAAGCATCCAAAATGCTTTTGTTTTTAGAGGATTGTGTTCCCGTGCGCTGATAAAAGTTTTTGTTTCTGCCTTAATCACTGTAGATCCATTCCAGCTTAGAGCCAGTGGACACTGTGTCTGGGAATCCAGAAGTAGTTGAACTGGGCCCCTCCGTGTTTTCTCTTTGTAAGGTATGATTCATAGAAACAAACTTAAACACCATTGCATATGATTTATAGATCAATTGATCGATTAACCCCTTCAAGAGCCCATTCTTACATACCTTGAACAAAAAATATAAAGACACAGCTGGAGTAGTAGTAGAAGAGGGAATACAATAAGTGCAAACAGCAACAAACAATAAACAAAATCTGACTAGGCCCGTCCAATACGTTTCTGTTTTCTCCAGAATTGTAAAGTCGTCAACTGTTAAGTCACTTGAACTTGCATCACTCATCCCACGAGCCTGCGACACAGACCTAAGCGGCGAGAGAGCTGACGGTTCTGATTTGCTTCTAGGGCAACAAGTCTGGGCACGCTGGCGCGGCAACCGAGGCCTCGGAGCCGTCGGGCCGCCGCCGCGGGCAGCAGCCTCGCCGGCCCGTCACGGCGGGCGGCGCACACCACCAGCCGGGCTCGGGCGCGAGCAGCCAGCACCAGGATGTAGGCAGCACGAGCGGCGGTGGGCAGAGGCTGCCGCAACCCAGACTATCCGCGGCAGATGGGCGTCTCTTGACGGTTCACTTCCCGGTCGGGAGGAGGTGGAGAGTTGAAAGCGAGAGTTGTGACTCCCCACCCCCCCCGAACTGCGGTAGCCCCGTGCGCTTTGTCGCTGATTATTATTATTATTACACAGATGACTGCGTGTTAAATCGGTATGTTGGATATTAATTTTGAAAATGGCAAGTCCTTTGGGTAATGTGCACATCTCTTATGAAGCGTTACGCAGCTGATTTTCATAAGGCTACATGTAGATTGAGCCTTTGACAACCTCGTAGTTTCGATTAGTTTCGTTTCAACCCATTATCTACAACATATAATCCTTTCTAAGTCCTTGTTTGATGAAGGCTTCTTATGCATGTTGGTCATAGGTGTTGTTTAACCATAATTCACTACACTGGTCTGTGTGTCACTTACCACTGATGTTGGCCATCGGTGGTAAATCAAACTCAGGTCACCAGTTCCATACTGCAGTGTAGTAACCTCTGTACCACTGCTGCGCCCCTAAATAGTACGTATATATGAGAGACAATCTAAATTCATAAACAAATCTATCAAGTATACTTTCCTCAACTTATTTGTGTTACTGGAATCAGTAGCACCACATGTGAACTCCGGTCATCTTCACAGCGGCTTTTGGCTAGCCATCGAACAAAGACGATCGCCACTTCGCGCGCTTTCAGATGCGCTTCTGCGGCCGTCTAGAACGCTCTTCCTTTCCGATATTAGGAAGGCACTGGAGCTATGCACTTTTAAGTCTGGATTGAAAACTCATTTCTTTAGAACTGCTTTTTGTGTTTTAGTTTGTTCTTCCCCGCACCTCCGATGAGCATGGTTGGCTACGTACGGTGGAAAAGAAGTTCAACGTAAAAACATACAACAGCGAGCGATGTGCGTTCTCTGCGGGTGGCAGCACGGCGCTGGTGTCGCCGGGACCAACGGCTTCCACGCGGAGGGGAGCGGCAGCTGCCCCGTGAGTCGGCCGCTCGAGGACAGAGCGGGGATCCCCGCGGCGCTCGTCAACACATTTGAGCACATCGTCACGCAGCTCGACATCCTCACGCAGGTGAGGACGGTTTGATCCCTGCGCGAGGTGGAAGAGGGCCCTCCCGTCCTCCAGGCCGGTCCGAGGACTCGAGGTCTCGGTCCTTCGGCCCTGGCCTCTCTTGTCCTCGGTTTGCAAACGGGTCACGTTTAATTCTTAAAATGATTATGTTCGTTAAATGTCTTAAGTGGTGACTGCTAGTTTTAATTAAGAATATGTAACAAAATAATGATTACATTGTGTGGAGGTAAATTAAGGTGTATCGATCAATTTTGTTTCAAAGTGTTTGGCAGTTCCCGTACTGCAACATGAGCTTTGCTCATTGTAGCTCATCAGCCAGCCTAGAGGATCCGGCCTTGACTGGCCTTGACACTGGCCTCAACCTACAAGGCTCTCCAAACTTAGCCTCAGCTTGGCCTTGTGGCTCCTGGCCTCAACCTCGGCCTCGTGGCTTCCAGCCTCGGCCTTGGCCTCATGAGACCCAGCCTTGAATCCAGAGTGGGTGGGAGTAACAATCGGCAGCTGTTGAGCGGCCGCCCCACCTTTTCGAGCGCTTGCCTTTTGATTCAAACAGGCCTACGGAAGGTGACAGCTTGAAATTCGCACTCGGGCGAATGGTTGAGTCACGATATTGCTCTTGGCAACCTAAAAAAAACAAGGTGTGATTTTGCGGTTGAACAACATAGTACAGTGACCAGCGAATAGCTTCTTGTCACCGCCCATATATTTTTACTGACAATTATCGTCATGCAATGTCTGCCATAGAACAAGTGCGCTCTGCACATTGGTAACAAGAGTATTTTATTGTTAGTATCATAGCCTGACTTCATAACCTTGGAATGAGCCATACCTAAATAAAAATAAACATTTCTTACAAAATATACCACACTCATTGTGTGAGCATTAATGCAATGCTCTTTAACCGAACAATATGACCACTTTAGACCATGAGCCCAGACCAGTTAATCCACTTGTCGGTACCACCTGAGGTGGCATCACATTCGTGGTACAATGTCTTGATGTGATAACCAATTGAAATGAGTGTGACTGGGTTATCAAATCTTACACTAGTAATAGCCCCGTAAATATAATGTTACTACCAGAGTCTTGCTTCCTTATGCGGTGCCAATTTATTTTCCGGTCCGTAGACTTAACGTGTGTCGCTCAATTTGCAGACGGTGTCCATCCTGGAGCAAAGGCTGACGATGACGGAAGACAAGCTCAGGGAGTGTCTGGAGGCCCAGCAGCACAGCCACGCTCGCGAGTGAAGCTCCCTGCGTCCCCCCACGCTCGTCCCCCGTCTCTCTTGCGGCGTGCATCGCGTTGTCCACTTCAGGTTGTGAAAACGTCAGGAAGTTTCCGTTTTGTTTTTATTCGTTCAAATTGTCAACTTTTAAAAGTTAGGTAGCAATAAGCGTCGTGTTCCATTTTAATGTTTTCTTTGTTTTAAATCAAAACGGACGCCACTGGAATTTCACCTAAGCAGTGGTAACGTTTCCTTGCGATGGGTTTTTAAGTGTTGTGGTTTGCGGTATGCGTACGCACTTTTAATGGCCTTTAATACGACCACTCAGAATGAAGAGCAACCATATGGTGCCATATGTCCTGCACATGGAGAGAGTGAGGTTTCTGGGCTGGTGCAGCCCCAAAGTTTGAGGGTGCACGTTATGCCAGTGGTGTAACATTGTTCCCGACAATCAATTGTGGCGGTAACATCTTCTTTAAAACGCCAGCTCCCTACAGATATGACCTCGAGCAGCGAGGCTTACGCATAAAGGCAGATGGGGGGGGGTAATTTTTTTGTAAATGTTTCCAATAAGCATTCTTTTAGGTTATTACTTAAATTGGCACTGGATACAGTGATGAGGCACTCCTGCACAATTTCCTGGTCTACGTCACAATGTGGTCTCTTATTTGGAAATTGTAGTGGATGCTTGTGGATTTGACTGCCCACTTGTACGGACCAAAGAACACAAATTGTGTGAAATGGCTTTGTGCTCTTAATTGCGCCCGGGCAAAACAGCAACATAGCCAAGGTCCGCCGTGCGGCGAGGAGGTCGGTGACAAGGCTTGAGTTATGTTTTAGATTACATTGTTGTCCACGTGTTTCGTGCATTCACCAACCACCTTGCAAGAATAAGGGATTTATATTCGATCTGAAGCTACTGGTTAAACATGTCAGGGTAACTGTGCTCATATGAACGATAGGTGGTTTTCATCACCATCGCTTCCCACCAAGTGATTCACAGCTAGTTCTGGTGACCATTTCAGAGACTTGATGGGTTGATCCCAGCTGGGATTAAAACTCATGATTTCACAAGTTAGGGCCTGTCTACTATAAGCTGACCTGTACTTCGACTGTTTGCATAGATTAGTGGCCAATAAATCTTAGAGCACACAGAGCTGTTTCCCAAAGGACAGCTCCTAACTCACAAATGATCGGTTGTATATATTTCTCAAAATATTTGCAACGTAATGGTTTGTGTGCACAGATTATATTTGTGCCGTGTACATTTTACAATAATCTTTTGGGAGTTATTTCTTTAACAAAAACGTGTTTTACCCTTGTCTTTTGTAAAGATTATCTTATTTTGCTGTGTTAATGCGTTTTATCTCGTGGCTTTTAGAAGATATGTCTAAAGCATCTTTGATCATTAAAATATTTTTCGTAACTTTAACCTGTCAATTTGCGATGCTTTTGTTTTGATTTAGGGTTTTCAGGTTTGCGACTGAGTTTCATCTCAATCCTCGGAAATCTTGCTTGAGTGTCCTGAGTGTAATTAATTAATATTCATATGCAGTATCAGTTGCATATTTAGTCAAAGTTCCTGAAGCCACATTGGGCTCTTACATCGGTTAGCATGCGGTCTTTGCTTGAAAGTTAACGTGAATATATTTCCAATTTATTCAATAAGTAGTTTATTTTTTTATTTAAAGCTTTCGTGACTGCAGGGATTCATATTCTTGGTTCTTTCGGTAAAGTCACGTAGAAGGGAAATAATAAAATAATACAAATATAAAACAATAAAATTCTCATGACGTTTCGACTGCTGTGGTTTTCACACCTGATGATGATTGCTTGTAAAATTTTGATTTAAAGCTTTCGTGACTGCAGGGTTTCATATTCTTGGTTCTTTTGGTAAAGTCACGTAGAAGGGAAACAATAAAATAAAAAAAAATTCTCACGACGTTTCGACTGCAACACAAGCAATTATCATCAGGTGTGAAAACCACAGCAAGAAAATGTGTTTCCCTTCTACGTGACTTTACCAAAAGAACCAAGAATATGATTGCTTTTGTTGCAGTCGAAACGTCGTGAGAATTGTATTGTTTTATATTTTTATTATTTTATTGTTTCCCTTCTACGTGACTTTACCGAAAGAACCAAGAATAAGTAGTTTCTTATCGCATATAAATTGCATATGTCAAAGTGTGAATTCAAACATTTGACTAAGAATACTTTGGGTCTTGTGGTTGTACAAAAGCTGCAGAGGTTAGCCAGTTACGTTTTGGGTGAAAAAATATAATTGACAAAATGTGTACATTTGTATAATACAATGCAACTTGAACTTACTCTTTGGTTCTATTCGGTAAAGTCACGTAGGTAAAAAATAAAACAACGTGACTTTACCGAATAGAACCAAAGAGTATGGATCCTTGCAGTCACGAAAGCTTCAAATCTAGAACTTGAACTTAGTTTGTTGGAATTAGGAGCACATGTTTTGATAGCTTTTGCAAAAAAAAGTATGCAAATTTGAAGAAAAAAAACAGATTGCAACAGCAAAATTACCGAAGAAACCTGGATTTAAAATGCATTTAATGCAGACAAAACGCATATACTGTATGTAGTGTATATCACAAGCATAATTGAACATTTTGGCTAATTAAAAAACGTGGTCAGTATAGGAGCATAGCACATTTTGGATTTCAGGTTAAATTTAGAATATTTGTTTTAAAAAAACGTTAAATATCGTGCAATTCTCGATTGCCTCGATCAGCATGAAGGCAAAGGAGTATGGAACAAAAAAACAATGTTCATACGTGCCAGTGACTCAACCGTCTTAAACAACACCCTGCAATTACCATCTGTTGGTTGTTTTTCTCTCTCTCCATCGCAAAGGTGTTATAGTCCAACACAATGGAAGAAACCGCCAACCTCATCCACTCGCCTATAAATAGGCTGGCGTGGGTCGAGGGGGCTTGAGTGGCCGGATGGGCACATGAAGTTTGCTCGGCTGCGGCTGATTGGGTGGCAGGGTTGAGTTTGGGGATCCCTCTGCCCGTGCTCCGGGGGTCGGGGGACTCTGCGACGATTCGTCGCTCGCTTGCGCACGCGCGAATCTCGACGACCCGTTCCTTTGTCCTCGGCTGAGAATTGGCCCTTCCACGAGTTGCAAGCGTGGTCGCACCGAGGTGCGGTGGATGGTGTGGCTGTTGTCAGGAGGTCGTGGAGGTTTAAACTGGACCGGTTGTCGTCCTCACTCTCAAGATTTTTTTTTTTATCTCGGATTGTACCTCTCTGGAAAAATAATTGGCGTTTTCAAGTACAACATAATCCTGCATATTGTACATTGTGTGTCGTCATGGGGACTGAAGGACATCACGTAAACAATATACAGATTCCCCTCGCTTTACGCGGTAGTAGATGCGTTACAAACAAAGAGGCGCACTAAGTACCCACACAGTACATACACACAGTACATACACACAGTACACACACACAGTACACAGTACCCACACAGTACATACATACACTACACAGTACACACCACACACACACAGTACCCACACACAGTACACACACACAGTACACACACAGTACACACAGTACAAACACAGTACACACAGTACAAACACAGTACACACACACAGTACATACACAGTACACACACAGTACACACACAGTACACACACACAGTACACACACACAGTACATACACACAGTACACACACACAGTACACAGTACCCACACAGTACATACATACACTACACAGTACACACCACACACACACAGTACCCACACACAGTACACACACACAGTACACACACAGTACACACACAGTACAAACACAGTACACACACACAGTACATACACAGTACACACACAGTACACACACACAGTACATACACACAGTACATACACACAGTACATACACACAGTACACACAGTACACACAGTACATACACACAGTACATACACAGTACATACACAGTACACACACTACATACACAGTACATACACAGTACACACACACAGTACCCACACACAGTACATACACACAGTACACACACAGTACATACAGTACACAGTACACACCACACACACAGTACACACACACAGTACACACACAGTACACACACAGTACACACACAGTACATACACACACAGTACATACACAGTACATACACAGTACATACACACAGTACATACACACAGTACATACACAGTACACACACAGTACATACACACAGTACATACACAGTACACAGTACATACACACAGTACATACACAGTACATACACACAGTACACACACACAGTACACACACACAGTACACACACAGTACACACACAGTACATACACACAGTACACACACAGTACATACACACAGTACATACACAGTACATACACAGTACACACACAGTACATACACAGTACATACACAGTACACACACACAGTACCCACACACAGTACATACACACAGTACACACACAGTACATACAGTACACAGTACACACCACACACACAGTACACACACACAGTACACACACAGTACACACACACAGTACATACACACAGTACACACACAGTACATACACACACAGTACATACACAGTACATACACAGTACATACACACAGTACATACACACAGTACATACACAGTACACACACACAGTACATACACACAGTACATACACAGTACACACACAGTACACAGTACATACACACAGTACATACACAGTACATACACACAGTACACACACACAGTACACACACAGTACACACACAGTACATACACAGTACACACACAGTACATACACACAGTACATACACACAGTACATACACACAGTACATACACAGTACACACACAGAGTGCATACACACACCACACACACAGTACCCACACACAGTACATACACAGTACATACACAGTACACACACACAGTACACACCACACACACAGTACATACAGACAGTACATACACACAGTACACACACACAGTACACACACAGTACATACACACAGTACATACACACAGTACATACACAGTACACACACAGTACATACACACAGTACACACACACAGTACACACACAGTACCCACACAGTACATACACACAGTACATACACAGTACACACACACAGTACACACAGAGTACCCACACAGTACATACACACAGTACACACTCACAGTACACACTCACAGTACACACACACAGTACATACACACAGTACACACACACAGTACACACCACACACACACAGTACACACACAGTACATACACAGTACACACACAGTACACACACAGTACATACACAGTACATACACAGTACATACACACAGTACACACACACAGTACACACACACAGTACATACACAGTACACACACAGTACACACACACAGTACACACACACAGTACACACACAGTACCCACACAGTACCCACACAGTACATACACACAGTACATACAGTACACACACACAGTACATACACACAATACATGCACACCGTACATACACAGTACATACACAGTACATACACACAGTACATACACACAGTACATACACACAGTACACACACACAGTACATACACACAGTACACACACACAGTACACACCACACACACACAGTACACACACAGTACATACACAGTACACACATAGTACACACACAGTACATACACAGTACATACACACAGTACACACACACAGTACACACATACACAGTACATACACAGTACACACACAGTACACACCACACACAGTACCCACACACAGTACATACACAGTACACACACAGTACCCACACAGTACCCACACAGTACATACACACAGTACATACAGTACACACACAGTACACACACACAGTACCCACACAGTACATACACTACACAGTACACACCACACACACACAGTACCCACACACAGTACATACACACAGTACACACAGTACACACAGTACATACACACAGTACACACACAGTACCCACACAGTACATACACACAGTACATACAGTACACAGTACACACCACACACACAGTACCCACACACAGTACATACACACACAGTACACACACAGTACACACACAGTACATACACACAGTACATACACAGTACACACACAGTACACACACACAGTACACACACAGTACCCACAAACAGTACACACACAGTACCCACAAACAGTACACACACAGTACCCACATACAGTACATACACAGTACCCACACACAGTACATACACACAGTACATACGCAGTACACACACACAGTACACACACAGTACATACACAGTACACACACACAGTACACACACACAGTACACACACAGTACCCACACAGTACATATACACAGTGCATACAGTACACACCACACACAGTACCCACACACAGTACATACACACAGTACACAGACACAGTACACACACAGTACACACACAGTACATACAC